TGCACTGCAACAGTCGGAGCTCTCGTCGACCACAGGCAGCACACGCTTCTCTTTAGCTGCGAGCTATTCGCTGCGATAGGTAATTAGATTGATAGAGACGGGTGTAGTATGTGTTAGGTTCTATATCACCCAAAACATGATACTCGACAAGGAGAGCAGCAATAGCGCACTTCATCTGGTGACAGTTTGTAAGTCGAGTTACTCAAAGCGTTGTCTAACGCACAAACTCTGCTCAAAATGTTCGTCATGTTTGCTGCGACATTTAAGCATCCGCTAGCCCAGGGGCAAGTCAAGCTGTTGTACAGCGCGGTGGGCCACCCAGAGGATGGTTAGGGCTGAGTTGCGCTTGTTGCATGTGTAGCTAATGTAGACGAGCTGCTTGATCGCTTCGTTGTCATTATATTTCATTTGGGGACAGCAGCTATCTGTATCCCCTCAACTCATTGTACTTCGACTTCGTTAGCTAATGCTGAGCACTGTTTATGGTTTGAATGAGGCATTTCATACTCAAGTAGCTGTGCATGAGACTATAATGTAACTCAACAGATATATATGTAGTTAATTATCAATAACTTCAAGTCCATTACCGTACTGAACATTTTCCCATTTGCCACTCGCATTGTGGCAAAGCTAAATGCTTATTTATATACGCTGTGTGCGAGTAAATAAGCCAGAAATATCGAATAATTTAGGTACCCGGCAGCTGCTACGCAAGAGAAGGCCTAAAGTTCACTTTTACCTTAAAATATGTCAGTGACTACTCGAAATATTCACACTTCGATGCTGGGCAGCCGGGCAGCTAGGCCGGTTCGATGGGCTCTCTCCACTTTGTACGTTGCGGTGGCTTCCACAAATCATTCAGTGGCATGAATTATTGCTGGCGCTTAGAACGTGCTCACGGCGCTAAAGTGTCATTACTGCAGGCTTAATGAGTCTGCCACCAGCAAACACAAAAAAGCAAAATAATAATAAAAAAACAGCTAAAGTGGGGGCGAATCGTTGAAAAAATGTGTAGAAGGCCAACAGGCGCAGTACTTTGTTCTTTGTCTGCGTCTTATTTATGTCGGTCCTTCGGTCAGACAATGTAAATAAATAATAGTGGCAAATACCCTGTATAACTGGCACAGAAGGGGATGCAAGTTGAAGCCACAGATTTGGTCTTAAAAATATTTATAGATATATATATATATATATAGAGAAATTTTATATTAAAAAATTAGAAATTTAATAAATGTAGAATATATAAATAAGTTTTATAAAGGAAAGAAATTATATAAATAAAAAAAATATATGTATAAATATATATAGAATTGGCTAAAGTATTTTACCTTCAACACATTTTATAATAATATATTACATTTTATTCTGCTTATGACAAAGTATGATAAGTTATATACAAGTTCTATATAATGTCGATAATATAGTCTAAGCACAATAAAGGAGAGTTTTCCTGTGCATAACGGAAGCTAAGAGCTGGCTAGAGAGTATCTTCCACCTAAGCTCCTTTTGCAGTTAATTTTACTTTCAAATGGTATAGAGTATTTGAAGTCTACATAAAATAAGCAATTAGTTACGAAGTTGCCACTATATGAAATATTTTTGCAGTCGGTTACGAGTGCTACTGCTGCTGATTAGTTTTTCAGGCTGACATGTTAAAAGTTATTAACGCTCATACGTCACGTTGGCCGCGGGCAATACTATATGCTAAGCAGAAGGGAGCTGCAGCTGCTGCAGTTAGCTACAAGGAATGCCAGCCACTCGGCACTGCCAGAGGCTGTGGCGGTGGCGGTGGCAGTGGCAGTGGGTTCCGCATAAATCGTGGCACCCAAAAAGCATAAAGCAAGCATGTCGCGCAATCATTTTCAGCTGCCACGTGCTTGGGCATACATTTTGCGCATTTTATGGGGCAAGCAGCGTGCTGCAGCTCCGGCTACTGTGTGGCCAAGGAAACAAACAACTGACACGCCCCCACTTGCAGCCCTTTCTGCTCAAGCTAGTTGAGAGTTTTAAAGCTGATTACTCAATAACTTTACTGGCGAGTGCATAAAATGCGAGTCGTATCCTTGGAGTGCATAATTCCCTGCCAAGTGCTGGGGTGTGTGCTGTGTGTGCAAATGTGAGGCGGCAGGATGGGGGCGTGGTATATTTCAGCCATTTTATGTGCACTTAAATTGTGTTTGTTATTAAAGCTGTGGCTCCCAATCCCTGTTCTTGCTGTTGTTATTGTTGAAACGAAATTTACGCTCAAATTGAGCTGCCTCGAAGTGATTTTGCAGGTGCAGCTCACCGGCAGCTGCCTTTCTGCAGGTAATTGAAGACACTCAGGTAAATAATTTATGCCTGCAGCATAATAAAAGCACATTGAAAGTGAGGACGAGCTGCACTTAAGACCGTTAGCACGGCAACCTTCAGGGTCAGCTAGGCGGTAAAAAAAAACATGTTGAAGGAAATATAAAACTGTTCAGGCTTTGACTTTCAGAGCCTGCAACTGCAGCTGAGTACGCATCCATTCAGCATTTCTATATATATTTAATTTTAATCTACTTTGTGCTGCTGACACTTATTCAATTTGACGTTTGCCAACACTGACACAAAGCGCTGTCGCCATCATTCAATTAATTTAACTACAACAAACACTGGACGATCTATGTAAATCGAATCGAAATTGTTTTCTAGTCCCAATTGTTCTGCATTCTTCATTTTTTATTTATTCAAATGTGTTGTAAATTCAATTAAGCCGCAGCGCTAACAAAATAAAATAGAAAAAACTGGACAACCCGCTGGGGTATTGCACTTTTATAGCTGAAATTCAATTACAACCGCTAATGCCACTTGTATTGCCCGCTTGCCCAAACCGCAGACAGTTCAGCTCTAAATACCTGTAATCCGGCAAATTTAATTTGATAAAAGTTGAACTTCAATAAATGCCAAAGCTGGTCATGCCATTATAATTGTGGTTGCGCCCGTGCGTGTGTCTGTGTGTATGTAGTTTTTGTTAAGCGGCAACCGCAGCGAAAAACCGCAAACAAATATGATCAGACATCAGGCAGGACTTTGTCCAGCCCAAAAAAAACAGTAACTGGAACTGCAGCAAACGTCAGCAAGTGCTAACAGGGCGGATGAATATTGCTTATGCATGCCCGACAACACAAACAGCGACCTACAACAACTATATTGGTGACATCTGCCAACAGCGAGTGCATGCCAAAGAGTGTTGCATACTTTTAAGCGCAAGCAAAAAATCGCTCAACCAGCGCCTGCCAAAAGCTGGCAGCATTTAAATATATTCAGAAGGCTTAAATAAATGTATATTAAAAGGCACATATTTAAATGTTTTAATTAACCAATATTATTTATGTGTTAAAAATAAAAATAAAAAGAAGGTGCACAGCTTACGCAAGCTGCTGTCAAAAATTTCAACTAAATTTAAAGCAATATAAAAAATTTTATGTTTAAATATATTTTTTGGATTATGTTTTTTCATTAAAAATTTAATATATTAAATAAAAAATTATAAACATACAAAGTTATGATAAAAACTGCCATAAATTTTCATTTATATGTAGAAATATATATAATATTTATGCTTGTTCCAAAAATGCAATTTATTTACTGCCCAAAGAAATCGATTGATAGAGATTTTGCGTAAGCACATTGAAAATAACTTTTTAAATATAAAAACAAAAATTTAAATAAATTGAAATAGCGCAACCTTAATTTTGACTATTCATATAAATCATTGGAAATATTTTAATTTATTATTATTTTTAACTTTTATTAAGTTTTAAAGTTAAGCAAAAGAAACTTTCACAGCATTTACCCAAAACACAGTTGCCTTAAATAATAAAGAACTTACCGAAATATTTAATCAAAGAGCGCAGCATAAAACATTTATACCAATGCAGCACACAAACGATTCTGTAAAAAGTAAAAAAAAAATAAAGAAATCTGCATCTAAAAAATTCTAATTTATTGAGTCACGCCCATTTTTACACGCAGCGCACATGACCGACATGCGGGGGACACGCTCAGCGGCATATCCCTACCATAACCCGGATCTAGAACTCGAAAAAATTGCTTCAAATATATGTAAAGCACGAAAAATAATAAAAACTGTGCGCCCGCTACAACTTGCTGCACGGCGCGTCGACAAATGAAATTTTCACGTCCTGCAGAATACACGCCAGGACCTAGGTCGACGTGAGCAGCCCTTTTGGATTTACCACACAAACATTTTGGCATGTCCTAAAAAAAAACAGATTAAAAACTTGCAAAAATTTTAATGGAATTTTATTTTGCCCTGTCGCTGCCCGTGTGCCTGTCTCTGTCTCACTCTCTCTCTCCCCTTCAGTCGCCCCTGACAAGCTCAGTCACTGGGGTCGTTGTTGGCGGTCGCGTTGCGGAAATTGTTGCCGTTGTGTTGTACCCTTTGATTGTCAAGCATCGGCTTACACACATAAACGTGTGACACACGAATGAGAGCTTGTGTGTGTTTGTGTGTAGGTGTGAAGACACAACACAACAGCAAAACGGGCCAAACGATAGACAGTTGACGAAAAACTTAGCTGTCAGCTTGTGTGAAAAGTCGCTCTAACCATAGAATGTTATTAAAAGGCAGTAAACAAATTTCAATTAAATGACAGGCGAATTGGCTAAACGCTATAAATTTAAATTTGAAAACACGCTTTCGAAACAGCTTTTATAAAGCAACGACCTCAGTTGAAATGAAGCTGGTTAATAATTCTTTTTAAAGCTATCAACTCTATGGAATGAGTAATAACTTTGTATATTATATAACAGATTGCTAACAGTCACTCAACAGCCAGTTAACATAAGCCAGCAGATAGCTAACAGTCACCCAACAGTCAGTTAACAGAAACGACTTTCATATGTTTTTAATGTGAAGAAAACTGTCTGCATTTTTATTCACAAAAAACTTACATTAATACAAATGTAATTTATTATAAAAAAAACTTAACTTGATTGTCAAAGTTCTCTTGTATTTGCTCGAAATAAACCAAGCTTTAATAAGCACAACTTGTTGTTACAAAACATTAAAAAAACTAATTCTCGTAGGATATATCATATATATACACACAACATATGTACATTAAAAGCAAGGCCTTAAATTCATGTTAGCTAAAGCTATAAAACCAATTACAACCCACAACTAGACTAGCTCAAAGTATGTTTCTAGCATAGAAGCCATCCCAGAGGTGCAATTTTGCCAGCTCGGGCAGCGCTTTGACCTCAAAGTCCTGTCCAATGTTCAAGCACTCGACGTGTGTCTCGTCCTGCAATGGCGCAAATTTGAGCTGCTTGATGCTCTCGCAATTGGGATCCCCATTAGCCGCAAAGCTCGTCCAGATATCGATCATGCCGGAGATGATTTTGTGCTCCGGTGAGCCCGCAGCTGCTTGATTTGACAGCATGCTGTGGAAAATGTAGCAGAGATCGTCGCCATGGCAAACGCCACGCATCTCATTGCCACATAGCACAATGCGTATGCCATTGCAGAGCTTGGAGTCATGATCGAAGCGGTACAGATAGGTGGGAGCGCTGCCCGTGCGCAGTCGAGAGAGGGCTGTGCGGTAGATGGGATGCCAGAACTCGCGATGAGACTCCAGCTCGAGGAACTTCATCATGTTGGCCTGGTTGCACGACTCCTCCCCGAAGTAGGCGCGCTTTAGCTGCCGTGCATAGCTCTCGCGCAGCTTCGGGTCCAGATTCGCGCCCAGATCAAGGGGCAGCACATTCTGACAGTCGCCCACCTCGTCCAATGTGGCAGGACGACGCATGACCTCTGCAAAGCAAAGATTAAGTTAAAGAGTATTCGAGTTTAATCCAATTCAACGCACCTGGATAGAAGAGTAGCCCCTCGAAGCTGGTGCCTCCAAGCATCATGGGAATACGCCGACTCCAGGTCTGCTGCATCAGCTCATAGGGCGACTGACCGATTAGCGTGTGCTTCGTTTTGTAAGGCTCGACAACCGGGCCAAAAGCAAACAGAACGCGGTGGTGTTTCTCCTCCTTGTTAAGCACTTGGGACGTGGCCTTCACAATGTCTCCGCCCTTGGCAGCGCGCAAATACTGAAATATTTCGCGATCCTTCTGCTCGCCCGTGTAGCCCAGCTTTTGGGCTAGTCGATATGTCCACTGGTTGTTTGGCGGCTGCGTCCAAGGACACAGCGCGCTCCCTGACATGATGATGGCCCTGTGCATCAGACCCTCCGTTAGGGGGCTGAGCGAGAGCAGATGTGTGGAAGCGCCGCCTGCGCTCTCACCAAACACCGTCACATTGCTGGGATCTCCGCCAAAGGCTTCAATGTTATCGTGCACCCAGCGCAGACCCATAAGCTGGTCCTTGAGGCCGGCGTTGCCAGGCACATCAAGTGCCGGATCCTCGAGGCTGAGGAAGCCCAGAGCGCCCACTCGATAGCTTATGCTCACCAATACAACATCCTTGGACATAAAGAAGTCGGGGCTGTACATGTCCCGCGAGGCCTCGCCCACCTGGTAGCCGCCACCGTAGATCCAGACCAGCACAGGACGCAGCTTGTTCGGCTGCAGCTGTTAGATGCAATACAAAAGATCAATTGGTTGCTGTCGATTGAATGCTGTTGCTACTACTCACGTCCTTGGCATATACGTTCAAGTACAGGCAATCCTCAGAGCCAGCGAATTTGCGAAAGAATGGATGTGTCTGCAGCGGCTTCTCGCCGGGTGAGGTGCAGTCCAGCTCACGATCCCATGGCTCCACCGGCTCCGGCGCCTTGAAGCGCAGCTCACCCAACGGCGGCTTGGCAAAGGGTATTTTCTCGAAGCTGTAATAGCTGCCACCCCATATGGTATTCCGCTTCACCCCACGCACTGTGCCCAGCTGCGTCTTCACCACCGAGTAGATCGCTGTGGTCAGGCGACGCTGTTCGTACTTAAAGCTGAGCACCCTGTAAAAGCAACCAATAGCAGAGTGTTAAAATATATAATTTTGGACTAGTTTCTGTTGGCACAACTTGGCTCTTCAAGACTTAACTTATGCTGAGAAATAATTTAATTCAAAATAAATGAATGTGATTGATGTATTTTGCACAGTTTAGATCAGCTAAAAGAGTTAAGCTGGTTTGGCTTACATATATTACGTTGCATATAGGCACGAGAAGAAAGTATTCCATGTCAATCTTTCATGTCTTCCTGTCATTCAGAATTTTAACATGTTTCAAGCCCACGCACAAAACAAGTCAAGCATCAAATGAGTATATACCATCTATTAAGAAAATATCTTCAAAATAATATTGACGCCTTATACGTGATTCCCTCTGCACTGGACTTGTCTTCATAGAGCATTTAGGGTTCGCTAATTGGTGAATGAAAATTTACACTTGCTTTGGCCTGGAAATCAGTCACGCACTCAGCAAATTGCCGGCTCGGTGGTTGGGTGGTTGGCTTTCAATGCCACTGTGGTTGCGTTACGGTAAGTTTTGTTTTATTATTATATTTATATTTATATATTTTTCGTGTTTTGAAAGTCGCGCCTTATGACCAACCTCAACGCTGCTCGCTTAATATGCACGACAAGTTTTTTATTTACTGTTTTTTTATTTATTTTCATTTGTTTCTCGAATTTGTTCGCTTCTGTTTTGTTTCTAATTTGTTTTTGCATTTAACTTTTATTACTGCGCTCTGGGCAGTGGGTGTGTGGTTTATGCATTTTATGGCACTTTTTCACTACCTTTCAATTGCGCAGTTCAAAATTTAATCACATATTTTATATTTAACACGCATTGCCCCAATGCACTGACATAGTTTAACTTTAACAACAACGAAGTTGCATACAAATTGCTTATTTCAGAGAAAGGAGCATAAGCAGAGAGAAAGACAGATCAGATAAACCAGATTATAGTATTAGTACGTGATGGATAATTGCAGTTGCAATTGCAAGTAGGCAGACGGAATGGAGTTGCAGTAAAAAGATGCCATATGAAAAGATGTATACTCTAACTAGGAGTATTTTGAATTGCATATAGTAGAAATAATTGTTGAATTCATAATTCTTTCTAATTAAAATCGAATTTAATCTCGAGCATATTTATTGTAAATATATTCGAGCTCCTATGCCAAATATACTAACTGAAGCCCATTCCGTTTTCTCACACAGAAGAGCAGTGTGGCTCATGTTTCTCTCAGCCTCCTCGCATCGAGTTGCAATTTTGTCTCTACTCTTTTTTTACCACTTGGCCACGTTCGGTTCCTTTCACCAGGACCATTGTGCAAGGTTCTCGACAAGGCTCTCTTCATAAGCATCGCAACAATAGAAGATTACCATATGCAGTTGCAGTCTTTATATTCATTCTTAACAGTTCTTTGAGCTAATGTGATACTCTCATTTAATGTGAATCTGACATATTTATTGTAACATATTCAACTAAATACTTCTGGCACTTTAGCTGTTATCTGTAAATACTATACATTGTCACAATTTTGTGCCAATAAAACAAATGAACACCTATGAATGTGAGACATTTATAAACGTACTTAATAATATATTTTTATATTTCTTTAAAATATATTTCAGTAAGACTATTAACCCTTAGCTTTCATAGCACTTAATTCCTCTACTAAAAAGCTGAGTGTCAGTAAAAAAAAGTTTACGATAATTTGCAGTAAGCTCAACGAGTAGCACTAAAGAAATTATTGCCAAGTCCAATTGAGTTCGAGAATGACTTTCAAAAAGGCCATTATAAATGTTCATATGTATGTGTAGGCTTCTTAAATTCGCTTATAATTTCTTAGTTAATATATATGTGATATTTATAGGGATAGTTATATTTGTTAACCTGCTCAATTGGAATCTGCGCTATCATTGCTTATGATGATACAACTTCTGGCTATTATAATTCAATGCATTTCCTATTGGGGGTAATCAAATCAATTTCATAGAGGTGTGTATGATATTTATCTTAATTGATGCATCGATGGCACATCCATAATATAGACATAACGTAATACCTTTCTTCAAATTATTGTTGTTATTTGTATTAAGTTTCAGTCTAGAGCAGTCAATCGGCCGATAACAAAACACTAAACTATTCGGAATGTAACACACAAATATACAAAAATCAATTCGCACAGGTGTTATCAAACAGCTGATAAGACGCATGAGTGTTTAATATAAAACTCAAAAAACTTGTGCAAAAATCAAAGGTTGAGCAACGGTAGAAACACCTAAAACCCGAACAATAAACTGGATACATAATTTATTTATTGTAATTCGGATGCTTCAGCACTAGATAAGCATGCGATTCGAGCTAAATAATCATGATATAACGAAAATCTGTCAATTCATGCTTATTTAGCTATTTCTAATTCCACCTGAAAGCGAACTGAACTATGCACCTGCTGTACTGTTGTCATATTTCTAATTAGACCTATAAAAAAACATTTTCACTTTTACTAAAGTTGAGCTTATTAACTCGACTGTGCACCTTTTGCCTATAATTATTAAGCGAGCTCCCGCCAGCTGTACTAAAATTAATGAATAGTCCACACACGTGTATTAGGCATAAGGTGGATGCCAACAGTGCAACTTAACGCCAGGCTATTTAAAAAATAAAATGTTTAACTACACGTTTAATTGATCCAAGCTCCACACTTTATGTGCATGAGTGCATAAACTCAACGTGAGTCCCAAAGTACTCAGAAATGTGAAAACAAGTAGAGAAAAAATATCAGCTTTAGACTTAACAGCAACTAGATTAAAACAGCAAGCTGAACAACTTTTTGCTTTCTGATATGGAAATACTATTTGCTTATAGAAATTCTTATCTGAATTATTAGGTATTATATTATACACTACAACAGCTGATTTCCTGTCAATTATTGGTCTACAAAGCTGTGTTTTAATTAACGAATATTTCAAATATTTCACTTCATATATTCATCGACTTTAACTTTTGCAATAAACCACTAAGTTTAACCAATTGATATTTTTGACATACGCGATTGGATGTGTTGTAATAACTAACCATTATATGCCAAACGAAACAACAACAAACAATTTCAAATGTGAGAAAAAACGTGCAAAAAATAGCAAAAACAAAAACAAACTTAATGAATCAGAAATGAAGAAAACAAAAGGCATCGATAAATTTATGCAAAAGGCAGCTGCAGAACTTGCGCAACAATTTCACCAACGCAACACCAACACACGCACACACACTCACAACAAACCATGTAAGAGTAAGCCAGAGCAAACGCCACTAACGATCAAACAAGAAATCTGTTAACGTTGCTGCAACATTCTCTGTTTTATTCTTTGTTTTATTTACAGTTAGAAAAAACTTACTTAAAGGTGAGTTTTAACATATCCATAAATCGCACAGCCATTGCAACGCAGCTGGGGTACGTAGAAGCCCACAGACGAACAGTAAAGCAAGCAGCTAAGTTTCACGGCCCTATGCTTTATTTCAGGCGCGGCTCTGTAAGTGGGGCGGGCAGCGAAAGTAAATAATAAATACTAATTGATCAGCTATCCCGCACGCCAGACACTGCCAAAATAAACACGGACCGCTCTGCACGAGAGTGCGACAACAACTGAAAGAAGTCGTGCGATCGTTGCGTTGTTTTGTTGAGAGGCAGGGAGTAAGGTAGTAAAAAGGTAGGCATTAATGAAAGCGGCTCTCAACAAGCAGACACCTCATATTAAACTCACACGCACGCTGCTTCTCTCGCTCTCACACACTATGCTTCACGTGCTCAACAGGTTTTTGCTAAGAGCGAAACGGTTGACGCGAATGGAACTGTTATTTTTGCCTACAGTGTTCAGTTGCTTGCGAAGCTTTTGTTTTGAATTTCGATGAACAGCTAAAGCAAAGCACTTTTCCAAATGAGCTTTAAGCACACGGAACAGCTGCAGATCGCCGCTAAGCTCCGTATAACAAAAAAAAGTAAGCTTTCGGGTTGCGCTAACAGAGCTTTTGCAAGTAAGCAAAAAATTTGGGTATTATTTGAAGTCAAGTTTAAAATAAATGTGTATTATATAATTTTTATAATTATATATATGTATGTTAAGCAAGTTCAAGCGTTAAATAAAATTATATTTAATATATAATATCAATTCGACTAGCCAAACAACACATTCAGAAAACCTCCACAAGGCACATAAAGTATCCACCTTGAACGTAGCTAACGCCCCGCACTTATTAAAGCTAAGTTTAAGTACTTTCATAAAGCCGAGTGCAAAGACCCCAAAAATACGTATAGCTTAGCGGACAACAGTTTGATTACAGTTAGAAGTTGGTTTTGAACTTGAATCTGAACAAATTGCAATCACATTTGCCAGTTTAATTAAACCGGATTTCAATTCAGTCGAATAAAGCGTAAGAGACCTGAATATATGTAAATGACAGACGCCTCGCAGGCAGTTTGTTGTTCCAATTAGCATTATTTAACAGATATATATATATATTTTAAATTCAGCATTTTATTAGCTAAACACCAATTGTATCTTTCCGCCTAGCATTAAGATTCATAACTCTGTCTGCAACGCTGGCCGAAAGTTCAATTTAATACTGCAAATCATCTGGCGTCCCGTGTTTGGGCTCCCTTTCAGTTATGACTTCATTTTCCTCTTGACTCAGGGCCAAATGAATGCAAACAGCCAAAACACTGTATGGATTATAGATTTGATACATAACTATAATTGGTATACTTGCTACAGATACAACCTGAGCAGAAATAGGATTCGCAGCTTGGAACACATTTTAACTTCTCTGCTTGGTTTCAGAATCGATACTAACTGAATAATTGAAATGCTTTACGCTAGGCTTACTTTTATACACAATCCATACTATTTATTTTGTGCATTAGCAGTACCTTAACAATTCTACCAATCGCTTGACATTTACTCTATGACTTATGCCGGGGAAAATTGATGATTTACTGAGTTGACAGCTAACAGATGACTGCATTTTGAGATATACTTACAAAATAAAGAAAATTTCCTCATAAAGGAAATACTTATAAATATATAGCTAACAGAGCAAGAAATAAATAAAAAATACAATTTTTCTTATGTTAACTGACTTTAACAAGCACTTCAGCTTAGCTAACTAATTGTTATCCATGTCAATTATAACCCAATTTGAGATTCAGTTTGCAATTTTTCTTGACAATATTTATTACAAATTCTGTTCAAGCCAGCTAAATCGTATACCCTAATGAGTAAACAATATAGAAAATCACCTCAATTACTAAATGAACCCATTGAAATATCATTTACTTTTTATTTGCACTATATAACAGTGAGTAAGTGTTCATTCGAGGTAGCTAATTAACCACTAGCCATGTGCACTTGAATTAGTCACGCGACGCTACAACTTGAGGTTTTTATTGGGTTTATCTTTAAAGTTCCATGTGGCACACAACTGATACGCGTTTTGTTTGAGCAAATAAAGTGGAAGTGAGAAGTGAGAAGAGAGAAGAGAGAAGAGGGACACAGCCACAGACCAGACGAGTTTATGATTCAGATTCAGCTGAGCGATAAGCAGCAGCACCCCAAAAATGAAAGAGTGGAGCGCTATGACGTCAATCAGTGCGTCTATAGCCAAGCGGGCCTAAGGTAGTTTTGATACTGATGTTACTTACTTCTGTATATAATCGTAGTTTGTGTAGATGACTGGGTTTTGAGTGGGCAAGCTGTTCAACTTCCTCAAAGCAATTAGATATTTTGTCATTATTTTTTGAGATAGCTCGAGCAATGAATTTTACTTGACATTTAAAATATTTTAAAATTGTTGCTTTATTTGAAATACATCTATTCTTTTGTTTTATTTTTTTGTTGATTTTTCTTATTAAAATATGAATTTTAAATTTCTTATTTTTTATTTTTTTTTTTTTCATGTTTTTCTTTTTTTTTGAGGCATCACATTACTTTGAAGCTTTTAGGAATTGAATTACATAACATTTTTTATCGAGCTCGTCTTAGTGTGCTCAATGTGGTTTCTATAAAAATGAATTCGAAACATTTAAGATTAACATTTCGTTTGTGCGATCTTAAAAACATTGTTTAAAGGTGTTTTTAGTCAACAGACACATAATTCAATTCAAATTATATATATATACTAGATACTAACAAGAATCATATTCCTAAATATGTAAAACTTGGACTGTTACATTGTACGCTTATACAAAAACAATACGGACAAATACGTATCCAAAAATTAGATAGTTATTGTAAAAGTTTCACAAATTCAAAAAGCTAAGCAAAAAATAGATTAATAATATATGTTAATATATTATTGGATGGGTGAGTGTATTTTGTGCACGGAAGAGAATCGAACGCCGAGTAATACAAGAAAAACCATAGTGTTAGGGGCGTCTCGGCGGCCTTTTACATACACACATTTATATACATAAATATATGATATAACTAGGAACATAAGGAACATTAGTTAATGCGCATACATATAATTCCTGGCTATACGAATCCATCAAAAAGGTACTTCAGTTGCGACTTCTATCATTCCTTAGAACAAATCTCAATTCGTAACATATATATATAGATAGAATCTGAATCTAACTGTGATCTATAGACATTTGAGAGTTTTGGATCAAACTTGAACAAGCTTAAATAGAATCTCGATTTGTGGACAATCTTAACAACACACACATAGACAAGGAAATATATATATATAGATATACATATATATATATATATATATATATATATATATATATATATATATATATATATATATATATATAGGTTCTATCTAGGCTTTAAAGCTAGGCTTTGCATTGTTTTCAACATAAAGCTAATGCTAATGCTAATGCTAAGTAGAGACCCCGGCAAAGGCCTCCGTATTCCCGTATTCACAGCAGCTCGTCGCGCCGGAAGAAACTCTCCCAGACCATTAACTTGCGCAGCTCGGGCACGTCGATTATCTTCAGATCATCAGATATATTAAGGCACTTCAGCTGATGCTTATCGAGTGCACTGGCCGACACCGGCTGCCACAGCTCCGGCTGCTCAGGATCGTAGTTGGGATTAGCATAGGTGGCAAAGTGCGTCCACAAGCCCACCAGACGCTCTATGCATTTATATTCCCTCGTATGATTCTTCAGCTTGCGCGCCAGCGAATTGTAAAAGAGATAGGACAGGTCGTCGCCATGGCAGGTGCCACGCACCTTCTTGCCGCAGCTGAGTATGCGCAGATGATTAAAGTGCTTCGAGTCGAAATCGAAGCGGTACAGATAGGTGGGTGCGCTCGACGCGTGCTCCAAGCGCGACAATACTGTCCGATAGATGGGGAACCAGAAATACTCGTGCGAGACCATCTGCAAGCCAGACAGAGCAAACAAAAGATTAGTTGCAGAATTTATTATCATTCAAAATGCTAAGCTGAATAACCTATGTGAACTGACTTTTCCATATAAGCAACTATTTATAGCTAGTCGGACAAACTACGTAACATATATACACACTTGATCGACACCTATTAAGATTGGAGTGTTGTTCACTTTAGAGTATATTTTTCTATACTTTCAAAAAGTCAAAAATAAAGTAAAGAAAAAACCCCACCTTAATCTTCAACAAGATGCTCTCTAATATCCGAGTGCATTATCGCTTATGCGAAACACTCTGTAATCTGAGGCACTCAAAAGATAACTGTTCTGTGCTTCCCTCTACAACACACACACACAAACGCACCTGCAGATACTCGTGCAGCGTGTCCAGACTGGGCGTCTTATCGCCGTAGTAACACTGGCGCAGCTGCTCGCCGTAGTCCTTGCAGAGTTCACTGTCCCGATCCATGTTCAGCTCGATGGGCACCACATAGCGACAGTCGCCGAGCTCGTTGAGACACTTGGGATTCGTTTTGGTTTCGGAGTAGAGCAGCAGACCCTCGTTCGAGACGCCTCCGATGATAAGGGGTATGCTATTGCTCCAGGCAGTGCGCATCATGATAATGGGCTTGGTGGGCACCACACAGTGGCTGGTCACATAGGGCTCGATGACGGGGCCAAAGGAGAAGCCGATACGCTCCTTCTTCTCTTCGTCGATGCAGAGCTCGCCATTGGCCTTGATTATGTCTGAGCCCTTGGCATTCTTCAAAAACTCCCAGACCTCAAGTTCCGTATTCTCGCCCGTGTAGCCCGCCTGCACGGCCAGCCGGTAGGGAAAATTGCGCTGTGGTGTCACGGCCCAGGGTGAGAGAGTATTTCCCGACATGCAGATGGCCTTGTGGAAAAGTCCACGCGTCTGCTCCGTGATCATCATGTAGTGCACCGAAGCACTGCCCGCGCTATCACCAAAGATCGTTATGTTATTCGAGTCGCCGCCAAAGCGCGAGCAATTGGCCTTAACCCAACGCAGCGCCAAAACTTGATCCTTGAGGCCCGCATTACCAGGCACATCGAATTCGGGGTCTTGCAGGCACAAGAAGCCTAACAATGGAAATTTAGTGTAAGGATTTCGACTCAAACAATTAGTACTCCATTTAAATACCCACCCAGTGGTCCCAGGCGATAGTTGATGGATATTACGACTACATCCTCCCGCAGCAAATAGTCCGGACTGTAGCATTCGCGGGAGGCTTCGCCAAACTGAAAGCCACCGCCGTAGATCCAGACCATCACAGGCATAGGCTTAACGGGATATAACTATATCCAAAGAAATATACATAACTTATTGGGAACTGCTTCCAGGGGATCTGCTGCTGCTTCTCACTTACATTCTTCGTATACACATTGAGGTAGAGACAGTCCTCGGAGCCATCCGTCATCTCGAATACAAAATGTTTCTGTAGCGGCTTTGGACCCTGCGACGTGCAGCTCTTGACCTCGGTCCAAATCTCTGGCGGCTGCGGCGCCCTGTACCGCAATTCCCCGACGGGCGGCTTGGCAAAGGGTATGCGCTCGAAGCTGAAATACGATTGGCCATATATCGACTTTCGCTTCACTCCCTTAATGGGACCATATGTGGTGCTGACAACGGTCTTCTCGCTAGTGCGGTAACGACGCTGTTGTACCTTGAAGTCGACCATTCTGCAAAGAAGAGCGGCACGACTGGCTTTAGAAGAGTTCTTTTCTTTATATATTTCACTTAGGTAATTATCTCGAGTATGTTTACAGATCATGCCTTAAGAGTCTCATCAACAACTGAGCATCTTAGCAAAATCTGAATCTCGACTTATCTAACAAGACACTTTTTTAAGGATAGCTGCTTCTAAATTTTATTTTTTTTACTGACTACGAACAGGGTATATTGCTTGTTTCGTATGCCCTGTAAATGTTGAAATATTTGTTGCCTTTCATATTTCAAAATTACAAAATATATACTGTTATCATTGAGCACTGTTTTTAGTGTACTTTAGTTTCAACACCTACACGAATTTTGCGATGTTTTTATTGATAAGCCACTTCTGCTAGTTACATACATATATAAATTTATATTATACATATAAATATTCATATATATATTATTATTAATAAATAACGATAAAGCCATTTTCTTATCAGCGCGTTGGTGTTAGCCAAGTGTTTGCCATTTATCAGCGCTCTAGCCAAAAAAATTCAGACGCATCGACGGCCTCTCGAGCCGAACAAATTTGTTTCCGTTTGCAAGAAATATTTTACATGAATTTGAAATAAGACAAAAAGTGTTCTTTTCATCCTCAAATGCAAGCAATAAATTAAATCAAAATGACAAAATAAGAATATAAATAAATACATAAGCTAATAGTTAGGTTAGATAAAGCAGGCATAGAAATATGAAACTCTTAATATTTTTTCCGAATCTGTTTGTGGGTTTTTTATTCACATTGAATTAGAGGAGGCGACATTTCACAGCAAAAATTCACACTTATTTTTTCGATTATTATTAAGAACTATCGACAATGGAGAACCCTGAAAAAACACTATCAAAAAATTGCAAATCATGAAATAATTGTAAATAAAAATGAATGTAGACAGTTTTAAGTCGCGGTCCCAGAAATATGTCATTAGGCAACTATACTAGGCATTATAAAATTTCGTTCGTTCTTTCAAGAACTATAGAGGTTTAATAATAGAACTCAAGGTTAGCGCATAATTGCGCATAGTCTAACATGTTAGAAATATTTTACGACTAATTCCTTTTATAAGGCAAAAATGCATTTTATTTGATCTAAGATTTTCTCATAGATGTATATAATATATATTAAATTTTAGAATTATATAAAATATATTATTTATGTTATCAGTTTTGGTCAACCTAATTATGTGAGCTCATCAAATGAAACGTGCTTCAAGCAACAAGAGTTACGCATATTTGTCGCTTCCTCGTGATTTTGTATTTTTCAAATAACAGCAAAAGCTACAAAATAATATATTTGTCATATTTCTGTTTATTAATAGCCTTCGAGCTGCTGTAGATTTCTTTTTGTTGCGTCTATCATATAAGGCGTGTTATTTTTTTGTTCTCTGGACTGTCGCAGCTGTGGCCCTGAACTTTGCCATTCAACTATTTGGACATAATAAAAAGCAAGATCAATAAAAGAAAAGCTTACGGGAAAAACTAACAAAATTCTTTTAATGCGGACATTGCGTGCGGCAGGGACATTTGCTTTAACAGCTAGCAATACGCATGAACTTAACATTTGCTTCTTTTTATACAAATTGTTATGAGCAGCAAGAGAAATGAAAACAATCTACAGCTACTTAAGGGCAACAGACGCGGCATGAAGAAAAGTTCAATTTGACTCTTCGCCTTTGAATTATGTCCAAAAATAAAATTTCAAAATGAGTGCAAAAATAAACAAAATCTTGTTATTGCTGACGACAGCAGAAAAAGAAAAACAAAAAGGAAAAGCCAAAACAGAGACGAGAATGAACTGGGCAATCAAAGACAAATAAACTATGGACCAGGCCAGGCAACAGAAAACTGAAACAGCTTGAATATTTCTGTTTCAGATTTCTGCAATACAGACATTCCAGGCTGGCATGTACCTTAAGCTCTGCATACATCAGATATGCACTCAAGTTCATTTGCATCCCACAATTGGCTGACATTTGCCAAACAATTGAACAAATTTCCCATTTCAGCTGTCCAAATGGACAGCTGAAACTAGTTTCCAGCAAAGCCTTTTAATGATCTGTGAGAGATTGTCACTAGATGCGGAGCAAGCGTGATATATTATAATTTATTTTAGTTTCTTAGCCAGATCAAGCAGAAGCATATTGAACTGAAGGTTGCTGGGCGACTCGAATCAGCAAATTCCAATTAGTTTTTTTTTTATTATGATGCGAACCTCAAGCCAAACCAGTTGTCCAAATACAACCGAATTGAAACCTGAATCGAATCTATGTTTTTCGCCAAAATTGAGAGTTATTTTAAGCTAGATTTACATAGAAAGCATATTTGAAATAAGGAAATTATTTGCGACAATTTATGAACTCGACCAGATTTGATATGATTTATCATTCATCTTCTGTACAAAGCCTACATGATTTTTATATAGATTTGAAAAATGCTATCACTTTCATTTATAACAAGCCAAAACCTAGATCTAATTTGCCTCTCTTTTCAAAACAAAATATTTTAATTTGTTCAAAAGTATAATTCAGGGCAACTTGCAAATCGAAGTGCACAGACTATAGTTGTAAATATATATACATATATATATTTCTTTGGCCACGTTCAAAATGCTTTTGGCACGTTTAGCGCACATTGCCACAGGCCGCTCGGCTAAGTTGCTGTGCAAGGCTCCCTTCAACTGTGCCCAAGGACTGTGGAAATCGACGCTTCAAGCGCCAAAATGCAAGTTCCCGTTGCGCAAGCCAAACAGAGTGCTGCTGCAGCCAAAACAGAGACGAAACTACAGTGAAGAACATGGAAATCGTGAACGCTCCCACCTGGAGCAGCGCACCAAAACACCCACAATTAAGGAGCGTCTGATGGCTCCGCCCAGTGAGAACGCCTATTCCATGGGCAAGGGCGCGGCCGCAGGTGCTGCCCTGATGGGCATAGTCGCACTGTGCTACTACGGCTTGGGCCTGGCCAATCAGCCTAGCATCTATGATCATTCAGTAATGTGGCCGCAATACGTGAGGGATCGCATCCACGCCACCTATGCCTACTTTGGCGCCTCCTGTGCCGTGACTGCGGCCTCCGCTGCGTCCGTATTCCAGTCGGAGGCAATGCTCAACCTTATTATGCGCAGCGGCTGGATGGCTACACTGATCACTATGGGCCTGGTCATGGGCACGGGAGCTTTAACCCAGTCGCTGGATTATGAGCCGGGCCTCGGCATGAAACAATTGGCCTGGGCAGTGCATTGCGCCGTTATGGGCGCCGTAATAGCTCCCATGTGTTTCATGGGCGGTCCCGTCTTGGTGCGAGCCCTGCTTTACACGACCGGCATTGTTGGCGCCCTCTCCACGGTGGCTGCGTGCGCGCCCAGCGAAAGGTTCTTGGCCATTGGTGGGCCGTTGGCAATTGGCTTGGGAGTTGTCTTTGCTGCGTCGATTGCTAATATGTGGCTACCGACCACGACAGCCATTGGCGCCAGCTTGGCCTCATTGTCCTTGTATGGCGGCTTGATCCTGTTCAGCGGCTTTTTGCTCTACGACACTCAGCGCATTGTCAAAGCAGCCGAGAGCTACCCGGAGCACGGTTACGTGCGCTACGATCCGATCAACAATGCCCTGGCCATCTACATGGATGCCCTTAATATATTTATTCGTATTGCGATTATTTTATCGTCCGGAGAACAGCGCAAGAAGAAGTGAGCAAGACGGCAGCCAGTTGAAGACAGGCATACAAAATTACATTGGTACTTAATTTTCTGGTTAAGGTTTCTTTCAAAATTGTGGATCATCCAATTTAATCAGTACATTAACATTCATTTCTCTCAGAAATTTATAATCTTAAATTAGGAATAATTGTAATGAACAAATGCAATCTATTTGACTTAGTACGTATTACAAATATCTTACGGAAATTTTGCAGCCAAAAGCTCTACCGTAAAGCTTCAATTGCAGCAGAACCCAAGCATGAAGTCATGAGCTTAAACAGTTCAACTAGATGCTTTGACCAGTCCTCTCATTAAGCTTTTGGCTAGAACTATATTTAACTCAAGCATTTTATATTCGACTTAAAGCTAGTCTCATTGAACCATAAAATGCATCAAGTATATATTAAGCTTAATTATATTATTTTGACTGCAGTTATTGTCGCCATAAAGACTTAAGTTAGTCTGATGCAACTCAGAAATAAGCGCGAGCTTTCAGCTAGTGTCACAGAATTATTAATTAGAACAAGCTAAACAATAACACAGACAAATGGAATCTTTGTAATCTGTCTGAATTGTTTTCACTCTAGCCCTGGAATATGGCCCCTAGTGATAAGCAACGCGTGTAACAGATTATGTCGCAATGATTGCATTCATTTTCCATACCCAGACGAGCTGACAACCCCAACGCCCCTAACAGCCCCCTCGCATAGTTATCAGGCATGTGCGCGGACAAGCGAATCCAGCACGAAGTCTAGGCCGCGTTACATACACATTTTATTATAATCGTCAGAAAACGTGAAAAACACGCAGACACAATTTCCATGAACAAAAAAACCCCATACACATTCTCATAATTTCCGCGAGAGAAAAAAGTTGGACACTATTTGTTTAGCTTTTACATGTCCATTTGGCTGGTTATTAACGCGTTTGGTTGACCTTGGCAGGACTGACACGCAAGGATGCCTGGCAAAAGCTTTCACTGAGAGCTTTTCGCGCACAGCTGCTTATGAATGAATCGCCTGAAAAGCTCACAAGTGGCTCAAGGATAAAACACAAGGTAAACGTTACTTGCATTTTCAGCACTGATGTCAGCCAGGTCAAGGAGTGTTAATCGCACTAGCTAGAGTATTTCGTATGTGACTAACTGAAATTTAAATGCTGCTTTACAAACACACAGAGATATAATTTAAGAACAATATGGCTGGCAGCTGTTTCATTACACTTTTTTATTTCATTTGTATTAACTCGTTTTTATTTTACAATCGGCCAGTTTTAAAAATAAAAGTACGAAATATAAATATAGAATAATTATTTTTTAATCGTTTACTAGCTAAAATGGTGTTATTAAATATGAGAAATTAATATGAGTTTATTTGCTTGTTATCTTAGTATCCGACTACAAAAAGATTATATTTTTATATTTACTCTTTAAAATATCATATATCAACTTATTATTTTAAAGACATGAAATATTTATAAAGATAAATTATAAATTAAAGTTCAATTCATTAAGTTGAATATTTAACGGAAATGCTTTATTCCGATTAAAAAGCTTTGCCTTTTACAAATAATATAAATTCAGAATATAAAATCTGCATTTTTACTGAAATTCTTCATAGTCTCATAATCTATATAGATTATAACTATAAAGTAATCAAAGTCATTTAATTTAAGCTAATATCAATTGACTAATAACTGTATATCTAAAATATATATAGCCAAGCTTTTATCTGTAGAATACAAGTTTTGGCAGCTGACTTAAGTTTTTATTTCTAAAAGCAAAGGCCTTGGAGTTCATTTTAAAGTTATGTCTTGTTATCTCCGTCTTTCTCAGGCATTTTTCAAAGACTGCGCGTGTCTACAAAACTTTGATAATAATAATAGCAATCGGCACACAACTATCTATATATATATATAATCTATAAGCTGATCGCGAATTTGCTTTAAATGAACTAATATAATTAACATTGAGATTTTACTCAATGACTATAATTTATCTATAATATTTATATATATATAACTTAATAAAGAGATGACCAGGGTGTCAGCTAATAAAACTCATTTACGCATTAGCAAGAAAAAAATATCAATGGATATATGAAAAAATGATTTATATAAAACGCTGTTGCCGTGTCTATTCTTTTTTGCTCTGTTCATTCAAACGACTTTTTTGCGCTGTCTAGAAAACATGCAGAGCGCTACGAAAATTAAATAAAATTGACGAACGCACTCATACATGATATATATATATATATATTTATATATATATATATATGTGTGTGTGTGTGTATGTGTGTGTGTAGCGTGGGCGAGCAGCTCGAACGACAGCGACAAATGCACGTAAAGTATTGCTGTGGAACGCAGAACGCGGCGTATGCGCAATATTGAATAGCCCAAAAATGTAAAGAGAAAAGAAAAATACAGAGACAGCAGCAATATTTTTTTTTAGCCAGCGCAAATATGGGGAATTTTGTGTTTATTTAAGGTTTAGAATGAATCAAATCACAACGTAACCAAAAATGAATAAGAATTGAACAATAAACCTAGCAAAGCACACCGCAAATATGTCGCCGCACAGTGGGAAGCATCAAATATCTTTCTTTGACGAAGGCCAATCTTTGAGTTATTTTATTGTTGGGCTGGCAAACATTTAATTCGATTTGATCGAATGCCAAACGTGCGCCCAGAATCGTGTGAGAAATGCAATAAAACCGAAGGTTAATAGGTGTAAGTGGTGATGCCCCCCATAAAGGCATATCTATACTATATATATATACTCTATATATTTGCTTTATTCAATTGACAAACATTGTCGTATAGCGAAATTGAGCGAATTAAATTATTGTCACAAGCTAAAAATATATCAAATTTGCCTGCAAATTGACAATTTGAAGTTTTACAGTCGCGTTTTTTCAGTGTTGAGAATTGAATGCTTTATGCATACAAATGACTGAATGCTCTGCTCAAATGCAGCGGCAAAAATCATAGCAAAACAATAAATATGCAAATTTATTTTAAAGTAAAATAAAAACCACTCAACTAAGTGCTACACTTGGCCAAAAAGTAATAAAATTAAATACAAATAAGAATATTTTCAATTTTATTTCACCCGGAATACCCAAAATGAAAATAGCTTGTATTCAATTTAATATTTATAGATATCACAAAGTCTCTTGCAGGGGATTAACAGCATTATAAGATGTGAATCCCATTTCCATAGCTGCCATAACTCATTGGGAATTCCAAGCGAAGCTTTTCGCTCTTTTGTTATATGAATAGTTTGATGACTTCAACAGCAAGTCAAAGCTTAAATTCAATAAATATTTCATTTTCAGGGATCTGGTCGAGATATATTTATGTCGCATATTTTAGAAAATATGTATCTATATACCATATAGACGGCTACCTATAATTCAAATGTGTATATGCCTTAGTTGATTTATCTAAACTATAGTTCAGAGCACGTGTATGTATATATAATCTGAATATATAATATGAATAGTTTGATGACTTCAACCAAAAGCCAAAGCTTAAATTCCAGTTCGGTAAGCTTTTATAAAAACAAAAACTTAATTAATCCCAAATCAACTACAGTTACAGTCTGGGCTCCTGAGGGCATACAGTAAAGCTTCCCTATAAAGAACTTGTAAGTCATCTATGCCATGTGAGTCGACGAGAAGTGCTTCACTCTATCAAGGCGTAGTTGGCTTAGTGTTCTGCAATATACAACTTGTTCTTCATTTCATTTTATGTGGATAGCTATGTTTTATCAAATTAGGCAAACCTGTTGCTGATCTCATGGCACAATCTCTTTTCTCGTTCGCTCAAACATTTCGCTTTGACACAAATGACTCAGCTTGACTGTTTATACAATAGGCAAAAATTTGCATAAATAGGTTGCTCTTGTTGTTAGTGTTACATACCCTACATAGCAGTTACAGAGGGTTGATAGACTGCAAAGGGCAAAGGGGTGCTATGTAGAAAACATATCTCGACCTCATAATAGCATCTATAACTCTATTCTATGATATTTGCGACCTGCTGTCTGTATGAACTAATCGGTTTCAGATACTTGAAAATTTCCAACATATATTAATAGAATTGTTGATAACGCAATAATAATATATAGTAAATATACGTATGTATATAAGGAATAACTGTAGATTTCATTATCCTCTGTATATACATTTTTGTCTTTATCTCTTAGATTAGATATGGCGCTTTCTGCAGAATGAAATCGCATTACAGTACAGGGTATATGCTAGTCTAGCAGTCTAGACTATATTACAATAGTTTTCTTCTTCTTTTTGCCAGAGCTGTGAGGCGCTTGTAGAGCAGTTCCCTACCTAATTATTTGCGTAGTTAAAGTGCCAGCTGAGGCAGACAATGGACGCCCCTAATGACAGCTGTGCGATGAACGATAGGAGGCACTGTCATGCGCCGTGTGTAAGTAGCTCGTTATGTAGACAAATTACAGAGTTCCCGGGAATCAATAGAATGTTCTGAGCTGTGCGAACAATATGGACACAGGTAGCACGGACATAAGCTGTCAGAGCTGTCACAGCTCCAGGCCTAAACATATTGTTGTTAACGGCTGACAGCCAACATAACTCACATGTAGAGTCTGGCTGTGTCCTGGGCAAAGGACACAAATTGCAGCAATTTGCTTAAAAACTCACTTCTTTTGTTAAAGCCCACTCGTGGACACACCCACACGAAGCGCTTTTGTTTACTAAATAAATATTTTATCTTCAGGGATTTGCTCAAGTTATATTTGCGTTGCTTATCTGAGCAAATATGTGTCTATATACTATATACACGGCTACCTATATGAAATGAGCATATGCCTTAATTAAGTTGACTTATCTAAACTCTGGTTAGGAACACGTCAAATCTGAGAGCATTAGCCGGAATCGTATAGTATATATGTATATAAACTTCCTGAAGGAGCTCTGACCCTATGAGTGCTATAAATTGCAAATTTTGTAGTTAGAGTTACTTTTAGATAACACTCGACATTTCCGAAGAAATCGAAAAGATTAGATAATACGCGCTAGGTTTGATACGTTTATGAAACAAAGCATGACGGAACACACTTTCGATAGCATGTGCATTTCCAATTAAATTGACTAATAAAGCAATATTATTAGATAGTGTAGTTTGATGTAAGTAAATCGATTTAGTTTACTTCCCCCAATGAATATCTTTGTATACCTCACTTTTACAGGCATATGAAGATTGTAACTATCCAGCATAGTTGACTTGCGCCTGCAAACTTTTCAAGTGATATATGTTTAGTATATAGGTATTGCTTCTTCCATATGACACAATTCGCTGATGTCACTCGACTGACTGTAAAAGGCGGCCATAATTAAATGGTTTAGTGCACTCTAGTCTATCAATTACGTCAAGTAGTAGACAATAGCAGAGCCAGAAGTAGAGAACGGATCTGCTGATGATCTAAACAATTCGTATTGGTTAAGCTTTAAGTAATTGTTGACTAATTTGGCCAGTGAATTTCTTAATGATTAACGACTGTTTACATATTGTTTTTTGAGGTTTTCAATGTGTTACTTACTTGAGACCAATTTTGATTTGATCAAATGCAGCCATGGAAGACATCTTGCTGTGAGCTTTTGTTGTATTTTTGTCGAGTTTAATAAAAAAATATTTATTTTATATAAAATCTATCTGTGCTATCTATTTCAACATAAAAGTAATTTTTGCACTTAGTTTGTTTTCGTTTCAATCCTTTGCCAGCTGCTTGCTTGACCTTGATGGTAGCCACAAAAACAAAACAGGCTGCTGCGGGCAGCAGCTACACACGCTGATAAGCAGCTTTCACTGGTGCACGTCCTGCGCAGTTAGACACACACGCGCACACGCACGCACGCAGGATAATAGTACTGCGAGAGGAGCGCACAGACGTTCACGCACATACACACAAATACACTTATGCTTTTTGCTTATCACATAACTTTTGCTTTCGAAGACACACGCGAAAAACTTTTGTTGTTACCAGGCGGCGCGAAATTAAATAAATTTTACTATAGTTTAGTTTATATTGTGCTGTTGTTGCTGCTGATGCTGCTTATGCTATTGTATTATTAGCAAGCTGTTGCTTTTAGGTTCTCAGCTACGCTTCGTGTTACGTCCGTTTGTCTTGAAAGCAGCTCACCAACTGTTTTCAAAGCACACGACCGAAAAGCTACGCGCAAAAGTTCTAAGCACATGGCACATGCAAAAGCTCTCCCATTGAGCATAAGAGCGTACGAACTAGCTGCTCTGTCTTACTTGCTCTCATTGTTGTATTGTGTTCATCTTCTTGTACTTGTAGCTGCTGTGTTGAGCTCACTCTTATTGTTGTGAGTGTTCTGTGTTCTGCTTATTGTTTTTGCTGTATTTGTTCTTTTTATTCTTGTAGTTAATATGCTTAGCATGCTTTGCTTGTTGCTGTTATTTTGTGATTCTCTTGTTCTTACAGCGGCTGTGTTAAATTTGCTATTGTTATTGTTGTGTTTCTTGCTCTTCTAGCTGTCTGTGTTGCTTGTTGACCATATTCTTCTTGCTCTCCTAACTGTTTGCTGGACTGATCTTTTTGTTGAGTAAGTTTTCTTTTCTCTTCTTCTTGATTTTCTTATTGCTTGATCTTGTTGCCGTGCGAAGCTAAGCTAAAATCAGACCGTAATCAGCGAGAGAGCAGCGCGAGAGTTAGCTTCCATTGCTATCATCTGTCTAATGAGAGCGTAATTCTCGAGCCTAAAAATCCCGCTTCTGTCTCTAAATGAAATAGTGCTTAGCTTAAGCGCTCCATATTACATAGGTCATTGCGTACTGAATCATTGGTTAAATATTGACTCACTGTTACTGTACTATTAGGCCTCAACCAATGCGCCTTTTTGTACACGCCTTATCAGTACATATTGATAAATGTTAATGAGTATGTATGACGGCAAGTGCCCACCGTGATTTCGCTGTTTTCACTGACACGCCTTGATAATCTTTCCAAAAAAATCATAAATAAAATACATATTGTACGTAAGTATAGAAAACATATTGATAAGGTGAAGTGTGCTCAACGCTGCATTAGTTATTCCGGGCGGTAATGAATCATTGTCATCAAAGGGAATACCATGGAAAGCTCACTACTTATTGTTGAAGGCAAAGTTCATGTTTATAATGAATAATTATTGAAGTATTTATTTCATACACTATAACAGAATTTGGAATTCTTATCTTATTGACCGTGGTGTAGCTTAAATATCATTTTAGTCTAGCTTAAGCTGAAAATGAAGTCATAAATTTGACTACTTAACGCACTTTTTGCTTTTTGTTCTTAAAGCAATGTGAATAAAGCAGGGTATACAATTGACTCCTCATAAACAACAGCTGACCGAAGGACTGGGCCATAAGCTACTGCAAAACTTTTGGCACGCTTAAAGTTCACTATGAAGCTTTCGCCCCGCTGCGCTTTTGAACGTATTCATTTTGAAAATGGGGTCAGGCGGTTGCTCTGACCGGGCAATTATAGTTAGTTATGGCCAGTTGCCGTTAGTTAGCGTTACTTAGTCGCAGTCACGCAAATTGAGAGCTAATCGCAGCAATCGCTCGATATATGGCATTCACACGCGATGTGCACGCGCTCTGCCTTAAATCAAACTTGATTAAACTTAATCAAAATAATGATGTGCCACAATATGCTCTTTTCGGTTATGTTCTGTATTCGCTTCCTCCCCTCATCCTAAACACTAATTATGTGACCTTGAGCAAAAAAGCGCCGGCATTGCCTATCATAAACTCTCGTGACTTATGCTGTGTGTGTGCTTTGCAGCTGTCAGTCTCGGAGCTTTAAAGAACTGAACTTGATCGCACACTCTCCATCTCTCTCTCTCTCTCTTGCTCAATCCGTTGCTGTGGCTCTCTTTGCGATCTCGTGCTGAGCACTTGTTCACGTTTTCCTCTCTCGTAATTAATTTAAATCAATTGAAAATTTACGTCTATTTCTGGCTCGATTTACACTTTGTTAAATGCTAAATGATTTTGATTAATGAAAATTAAAGCCTTCCATTCGCTATGCTAAGATTTTCACTTTGCGTTATTTTGTTACCTGATCGTTGCCATCTGTTAATGCTTCACATATACAAAAATCACTTTTCATTTGATTATGTGATCATAGACAAATGGCTTTTATGGATCTGCGTACAATATTTGATGGATAATTTGGTTGACTCACATGAACTGTGCACGTCAGATAAACTGCTAAGAACAAAAACAAATTTTTATAAAAACAAAAATGAATATAAGACAAGTGGAAAAAAATATAAAAAAATGTTATTTTTTTTATAACTTACTCAACTCTTTTTCTCTAGAATCGGAAAATAAAATACACTTATCGTTCAAAAAATATTTGTATAATATAAAAACTCAAACTCATTGATAAGGTAAAAATTATTAAAAGAAAAAAATATTTCTTGAAATTGTGAACAAATTATGATTTTTATTAAAGAATCGTTTTACAGTATATTTCGCGAATAAATGTTTTGTGGAGCTTATACTTATTTTATATTATTTTAAATAAATATAATTGAGCTTTACTCAGAGAAAAAACATGCATGTCCCTTGTATGCCAATCAGATTAAACGTGTCAAATAAAAAATATTTGCTGCCCTACAATTTAAAAAGAAATTAAAGTCTCTTAAAATATTCATAATAATTGGGACTTAAATGTCAATTTTCTTTGTAATTAAATATTATGCACTTCACACTGAGCCACATATCCAGAATGCGAGATAAGAAGACGAAGTAAATGCCAGCTGTCACACAACAAACAGCGTGACAGTTGTTCATAATTTTGAGGGGGCCTGGGGACTGCCGGGTCGCTATTATTTCGCGCGAGCTCAACATTGGACTCATGAATTTTTCAAAATCAAATCAAATGTTCGGCCCGCCACGCCCCTTGTGAATAGCAATGGCTAACCCCGACACTCATAATTTTCAGACAGTTCAACAATCTCGCGTGACTTTTTTCAAGCCATTCCGTGACTCGATTATGGCACACGGGACACATGCGTCTTCCTGTTGCCCCTCCGGCGGCGACGTCACAGCAATGTGGAGCATGGCTTACAGTTTGCAAGTGTTTGTGTGTGTGTGTGTGGGTATGTGTGTGTGCCATCCGCTACGCCCACTCGCACACACGTGACAATAAAACAAAAAGAAAAAAAAACTATTGTCTGGGATTTAAAAATGCATAAGCTTTTGACATAGTTAAAGCCTGTTTAACTTGCTGGAAGATGGGATCGGCAAGGATAACGAGGCAGCTTAAGCTGAATGACTCAAATCTCATCGTAATATATAATTTAAAGCAGTCTTAATTATAATTCAGTAGATCTTAAATATAGAGCTTGGCTTAGCCTGCCTGCTCACCCAACTCTTTCGTCGTGTAAAAACCCGATTTAAAAGGATACAAAATATTAGCGTGATAAATTACTCTGATACTACGCAAAAATGTTAGCAGCAATTAGCTCTTATTAGTTAACTAGAAGCGCATTTCATGCCTACGCTTTAATTGCCATTAGCAAAACGATTCTAAAAAGTATTGCATACTTTTAGGCAGCGACTGTAAAGCAGCAGCGGGATTTCAGTCAGCGCCTGAAAGATGGCATATTTAACAAAAATTTTTGGCAAATTTACAGAGCAACTGTAAATAATAATTAAAATATTACAAGGAAATACACAATTGAAATATATAATCTAAAGTTCGCCCAGCTCAGTTAATGTGCATAGCACGTGTAAGTTGTTAATTACAATAAACGCCAGGCGGAGGCGAACTGCGTTGAGGACGATTTCGAATGTGTACCCCGTTTGTTGAATTTAAGCCAGACAAAGCGACTTTTTGGGGTGACACACAGGCAACGCAACACAAACAAATTACAAAATGTTGTTACGGTTAAAGCGCTAAGAATCTACAAACAAAAAAAGGCTAATAATTAATCATTTCACGGGGTATCTGGACTTGACAACATGTTTTCAAATTAGAGTTCCAACAGAAAACAATATGTATTGTTAAAAAGAAACATATTTATTTATATTTAATATATATAAATAAATTTAAAAATAAGACAAGATTTTGATTTTTGATTTTTCCTTCTTTTATTTTTTGGATTATTTTCTAAGCTTCTGAAAGAGCCCAGAAAAGTCGTTATGGTCCAACTGTTTTTCTGTATATAGATAGAAATATATATGGATGTGTGTATGTGTGTGTGTGTGCGTGTGAAAGAGAAATGTGTGAGCTTTGGCCTTCCAACAGCTCAAATGTGTGCGTTCAGTGTGTGTTCAGGTGTCTGAAAATGTTAGGAATTTTTAATATAATAAAGCGTTGCATACTTTACGCTTGGTTTTTCCAATTGGTTGGGCTGAAGCAACTTAAGAGTTAAAAACGTTTTGTTCAACAAGTATAAAATGAGGGTTACAGTATATATATATATATATATATATATATATATATAATTTTTTTTATTTTTTAATATATATGTATTCCATTTACTTCTATATTCTTCTTATATTATTTGACATTAAAAAATTCTCAAATTGATGTATATAAATAATTATTTATATGCACAAATTTAAAGCTTAAACATTGATTATTTATTTTATTAGATTTTATGGACTTATGTTTACACTAAAATGCCATTCGATAATAACTCAATCAGAACATAAATAGCCAAAGGACTTTATAAAAAATATGCTCATATTTACAGACACACACGCATGAATGTATCTGAGTGTGAGTGTGTATATAAATATATCTACATATATAATTTATATCTACATTTACATTTGTTGCCAAAGCAAACAGTTTTGCTGTGCATTTAGGGCCAAGCCCAGGGCCATGACTTAAAGCTATAGACGTAAATAAGAGGGGGGCGTGGAGAGCAGATTGTTTGGTCGGATGTTTCTAGTACAATAGTTGCTTGTCGGCGTACATGCTGTCCCAGAGCCACAGCTTTTGCGCTTCGGGCAAGTCAATCACCTTCACATCATGTGAAATATTCAAACACTTGAATACCGCATCCTTTCGGGATATGGGCAGCCAAACGTGTGGACGTGGCTCTCTGTCCCCGTCGGCCTCCTCCTGCGTGAAGAGCGAGATGCTGGGCTTCCCGGTGGCGGCAAAGTGCACCAGCATGGACACCAGACGCTGTATCGTCTTAAACTCGGCCGAGCGAGACTTTAGCTTTTTGGCAGCCGCGTTGTAAAACAAATAGGATAAATCATCGGCATGGCACGTGCCACGCACCTTGCGGCCGCAGGTAATAATTCGCATTATGTTGAAGTGCTCCGAATCAAAATCGAATCGATACAGAAATGTGGGCGCTTGCGGCGCATACCGACTGCGCGACAGCAGAGTGCGATGGATGCCATGCCAGAAATATTTATACGAGCAGAGCTAAAATAAAATTCAATTCATGGATTAAAGCAAGACGTCTTTATGCATATATGTGGAAATAAATATATATTTCACATTTAGGGATTCATTTTGCAGCTACTCTTTGCCTGCTAGAAATATATAATACAGCTTACTTTTAATCTTTATTTCTTTATGCTAAACAAGTCCTCAAATTGATTTATGTTTCTATATTTCTCTAGCTATTCTCAGTACTTTTATATTTTTATATGAATCTATAAAACGTATCTGGCAATATTAACAAATCTAAATTTTTTAGATCATTTTCTTAGATAATTATATGCGATATATTTTCTTTATTTACTTACATCACAGTATTGTAGTAGCGTCTTTCGACTGGGCTCTTTGTCACCAAAGTACAAGGACTTTAGCTTTTTGCCAAAGGCTCGTCGTTGATCCAAGTCGAGGCCGGCGTCCTCGGGCGACAGGTACTCACAGTCGCCTAGATCGCAGAGCAGATCTGGCCATTTGCGCACTTCGGGAAAGACGAGCAGCCCCTCGAAGGAGTTGCCGCCCACGACCAGAGGTATGTCGTTGCCCCAGCAGTTGCGCATCATCTCCAGCGGGTGCTTTGGTATCACACAGTGCTCCGATTCGTATGGCTCGATAGTAGGTGCAAAGCAGAACATTACTTTTCGCTGATGTCGCTCCTCCATGGTGACAATGTCCTCAGCCATGCGCAACATGCTGCTCGCCTTACAGTATCGCAGATGCTTATATATCTCCCGGTCGATCGGCTCGCCTGTGTAGCCAGTGGCTTGGGCTAGGCGATAGGCCCAGTTGTTTTTGGGTGTTACCGCCCACGGGGATAGAGCTGAGCCAGACATGAGCACAGCCTTGTGAAAGAGATTCCGCGTCTGCTCCGTGAGCATCATGTAGTGCGTTGAGGCGCCTCCTGCGCTCTCGCCAAATACGGTTATGTTGTTCGGATCGCCGCCAAAGAACTGGCAATTGCGTTTAACCCAGCGCAGAGCGAGCACCTGATCCTTAAGACCCGCATTGCCGGGCACGTCCAGCTCCGGGTCGTCCAAAGTGAGAAAGCCTAGCACGCCTAGGCGGTAAGATATGGTCACCAGCACCACATGCTCCATCATTATGTAGTCGGGACTGTAAAGATCTCGCGAGGCTTCGCCCATCTGAAAGCCTCCGCCGTAGATCCAGACGAGAACGGGCAGCGGCTTTTGCGGCTTCAACTGGAAGAGAATAGCAATTGAATCTAGGCTTAACTGTAAATAGCCTATGTGTGACTCACCTCTCTGGTATATACGTTTAGGTACAGACAGTCCTCACTGCCCTGCACCTGTTTCAACACCAGATTCACCTGACAGGGCTTTGTGGGCTCTCGCGTGCAGCGTCTCACCTCCGTCCATGGATCCGGCTCGACGGGCGCCTTAAAGCGCAAGTCCCCTATTGGGGGCTTGGCAAAGGGTATGCCCTCGAAGCTGTAGTAGTTAGGGCCATAGATCGAACGCCACCTTACGCCCTTCACCTTGCCATAGACCGTATCGGCAACGACCTTATCGTTGCTCCGCAAATGTTGTTGTTTTGTCTTAAACTTGACATAGCTAGAAGTAAGAGAGATACAAAGGTGAGCACCATTAATGCAATACGAATCCGACAGCTGATTGCACTTCGAGCCAATCAACTTAGATAAGTGTTTGTCTAAACATTCGTCTACTTTGTTTATAAACGTTCAATAGACACGTTGCGCGAGCTCTTAGCTACCTTTGCCCTTTCTTCAGACAAGCAACATACAACAAAATGATTCCACTATGTATTATTTACGCTTTTCCGAGCAGCTAGTGACCTTCAGATGTGCGTTATAAGAAAGAGAAAGCTCTAATGTAAAATATAATATAAACTAAGATCATATCTATTGCATGTATACCTAAAAATCGTAATCGATACTTATAGGTCAGTTACAAATACAAATGAATATATGATATATATATATATATATATATATGAATATATTCAATAAATTAAAGATGAATATGCGAAAGATTCTTAATGTGAATGTATATAATATATAATATTCAATCCAAATCCATTTTTTTACATTAAAAATAACTTCAGAATAAATAACATTATTTTTAGACTTTTACAACAGTGCTCTATCTATTCATTTCGTATTATCTCTGTCTCTCTCTCTCGCACGCGCGCGGCGGCGCGCGCTCGGCGCGCGGGCGCGAGCGGCGCGGCGCGCAGCGCGCGCGCGCGCGGCGCGAGCGCGGCGCAGCGCGGCGCGCGAGCGAGCGCGAGCGCGAGCGAGCGAGAGCGCGGGGCGAGGAGCGCGCGGAGCGCGCGGGGAGCGGCGCGCGAGCGCGGGAGGCGGAGAGGGCGAGCGCGCGCGCGGGCGAGCGAGAGATAGCGCTCGCTAGCGCCGAGGGCTAAGAGAGAGGAGAGAGGAGTGAGAGTAGAGGGCGCGCGAGGCGCGAGCTGGCCAGCGATTTCTCAGCTCAGCTCATCTCTCTAACATCTCCTCTCTCTCCATCTCCTCTCTCCACTCTCCTCTCTCTCCACTCTCCTCTCTCTCCACTCTCCTCTCTCTCTCTCTCTCTCTCTCTCTCTCTTTCTTTTCCTCTTTTCTTCTCTTTTCTTCTCTCTCTCTCTCTTTCTCTCGAAAACACAGTGCAATTTCATTGATAATGAAATACTAAAACCCAACGTCTTATCTATTATCAATGCAGCTTAAAAGCGTCTATAACTATCGCTTGCGATAGCAAACTAATTTCCTAATCAATATAAAAACAATTATCAGCGCAAGGGAAAAGACTCAGTGCAAGCAAGTGAGACACAGTCTTGCGATTTCTGTATTCGATTTCTGTATAGAGAGCACCAGAGAGCAGACACCCCCATTAAATATTTCAAGTGCGTTTCCATTTAGAAACGTGACGCCCAAACGATGCGTGAGTCGATCCACAGCAGGCGGAGGGGCCGCGATATGGATTGCAAATATGGAAATATGAAAAGTTTTTATTCGATCTCAGACAGTATATACGAGCACAAATTATTCGCATAGTATGAGTAACAAATTAATTAGCAGCTGGTGAAGTTCTCCATGCTCTTATATTTTTACAGAGCAAAGTGCAACCTTGAGGGTATTTTCATAATTCCAGTTAAAAACTCTTCCAAGTACTTTGTGTGAATTGTACTACACTTATATACGTCGTGCTAATTGCCAGCATTAATTCTAGAATTTCGCCAGGCTCAAGGTCAGCGTAGGCTATATAAACGAGCTAGTTATAAAGTAACATTTACCAGACTCAAGAACTGGTTATTCCAAGCTGAGCTACATATAACCCCTCATTCATATAACTTTTGTTTTTATGAGCGGTTGAAATCAAATAATCAGATGGTAGACGAGACGCAATATTCCATAACCGGGCCTCATCTGTTTCTGGGTCTGTGCACGATTTGTATGCCGATTGAAATCGCAAAGAAACGTTCACAAAAATCTCTGACATTGACTTTGCATACAAAACTAACCACATAAATTATTTACAGCATGTTAATCAGATGTGCATATAACGTCTATAATATATACTTGAGAATGACCAACAGAAGTGCTTTTGTCAACAGCATTAGTTAGTTAATGCTCGAGCATTTGGAAGGTGTCAAATGTCTATGATTATTAACGAATATTTACAGTTATTTTTGAGATGTTCGAAATGATGAATGCCCTTGTAGAAAAATTAACTTATCACCAGCAAACTAAATGCATAATTAGGCATCTTTTCAGTAAGAGTAGCACCCGCATCTATTTAACATTATAGATTAAATTAGCTTATACATTTACGGGTTAAGCCACGTTAACGAAAATGGCTGAAAACATTATAGAATATATCTCCTCCTCCGCTTCCATTTATGACCCCTCTTAACAGCTTACACAATCAGTGAGACTTAACGAATTGCTTGCAAATGCCTTAATCTGTCAATTAGCTAGCTTTGCCTTATCAGTGTGTGACCTTATTTGAAAATGCATTTAGCAAACATGCCCCAATTAAAATTATTGTTGTGTAATTCAAGCACAAGAAGAAAACCGATCAAAATTCAATCAATATTTCAATTCGTCAATTGGCAGGAAAGCGTTTCAGGTCAATGGCATTTTGGTCCAGCACATTTTATTTTGGCTGCCAAAAATGCGGCTGAACAAATTTGTGGTCATTTATCAAATTCGTGCAGCGATGTGTAAAGTAATGCAAATGCATAAGATGAAAACGCTTGCAATTTCAGCAGCCATTGATGGATTTTATTTCGGCGAAGAACGATTCTAGACACAATACGCCGGACTATAATATTCAATTTATTATTTTATTTGTATTGATAGAAAAATGATTCAGTTTATACTGGTAAAATAATTAAATAAATATATCACAAAATAACGAGCAAATAAATAAAACTAATTTGTACGTTAGAAGTTAGATAAGCTAATAGAATGATTTAGCAAAAACTTGAAGGTTGTTGCCTACTGAATCCGAGTCTAAGTGTTGTAGCGTTTTTTGATTTTGATTTATAACTGCAGTCATTTACATCCCCCTCCATCGATCCACTTTTAGGTAAGAATATCTCGAAAGACTGACGTGATCTGACTATTCTGTTTTCCGTTTCATTAATATTGTTTTATGATGATTTAAGCTTATATGACTTTCAAAATAAATTTAGATATAAAGCAAAAATCTTCCGATTTTCAGTTTTTAAGCTCCATTCCCTGTGTAATAATAAATAATATTAAACGTTTTCTTTTAATTCCTCAACTTTACACCCATTTATTATTCAGTTTACTTCGTTATTATTTATTTATACAAACAATACAAAGCTTAAATATTAAAGTTTAACCATTTAGAAAAACCCCCATTTAAATAAATGTATTATACGATGAAGTAAGGTTTAATTACGCGTTGGGACTAAGTGCTTAAATTAGTTATGCTCGCAGCTTTTTTTGTTTGGTTTTAATTAGACAAATACTTGGAAATATTGTTTAAGTAGCAATTCTTAACTATTTTCTAAGAGTTGCTTCTTGCGAAACAAAAACTTGACTGAGCCACAGAAAAAAATCAGCTGAAGACTTGTTTTTATTTTGTTTTATTTTATGCATCTACGCAAACCGTTTGTTGACTTTTCAAGCTGCTGACATAGTTTGCAGAGCTGGCAGAGTTTTTAAAAAAATAATGCTAAAATAACCCTGACATTTCGTAGCAGTAAGCCAAACGTGTTCTTTACGCATTCCCAGTGTGATCTTGACTTTGGCCACTTAGTCAGAACATTTTCAACTGCTGTTCGATTTCACATTCATTGGCTTAAGTTTCCGTTGATAATAGAATTTTCCGTTTCATATGATAAGCTAACACAACTTTTGATTTATGAAGTGAAATGTTATAAAAGCAATGCGAACAAACCGACTCAGCTAATATCTACAATGAGTCCGTTAACAAAAGCGCCCCTTATCAACCGATTTCATATTGTTAGACGTAGTCTATAATTAATTCGAACATAAAAAAAAACATTAAAATAAGCTACCAGCTGATAAAAACTACCTCGAAAATCGCTGCCAAACGTCCTCAAATTGCGTTTACTCATTCTGACTGGTCGCTGGGAACAAAGTTCACAGTATAGTAAAAGTAGACATGGTGATATTCTTATCAGACAATGTCTGAAGATCAGCCGGATCGTCAAGGTGAATCGTGAGTGCAGACAATGCGGATGCAACTTTATTTAAAAAGACCTCCAGCCGTATATGAACCGGATTCGAGATGCTCGATTAGCCCAGCCTCCTCGGCTGCGGTTGCCACGGTAGGCCAGCTGCTGATAAGCCCAATATTTCAAGCTCTGACGCAGCTGTGGTCGATTTCAACACAATTTATTTTTATAATTCTTTTTTGACAGATTGGCGATAAGCCCTACTTCTGTTACTGAGAAAGGTTCAATCAGCACTTGAACTATTCGATAGACTGTTCATTGAGGCAATCAGATAGTAATATTTATTTGTGCATCGCACGCAAATGTCACAGAGCTCAACTAATTATATAAATCATATCTGAGTGCAAAGTTTTCAATGCTATTTATTAGCGAACACTCATAAAACATAATGACTGTAACCCATTTTAAATTTAAAATATATTAGTTTTTTTATGTATGACTAAATTATTATTTTCCAATACATGACTTTATGCTGTTAAAATTATTTAAAATAATTAATCATTAAAATGCGCCAGTTCTGGTTTATGAATATACTATTTGTAGTTTCATAACTGACTTTCTTATTAATTATTTCTTATTCACGAAAAAACAAAATAATTAATATTCCAACAAATAAAAGAAATTAAATTTTTTGAATAATTGAAATATATTTAAATTTTACTAATACAATTTATTTATTTTGAATAATTTAAGATTTTAAGCTCCTTTTAGATTTTGAAACCAGGAAATATTTCTATTTCAATAGAAAGCTGTGGTGTTGTTTATCGATTATAGATGCACTTGATTTGAAAAATAAATATTTATGGGCACTTACTTTAATGCGATGCGCATCTGATCGGCAATTGCTATATCAAATGACATGTTCTCTTGTGGTTTGGCACCAGCTCAAAATGCAGTGCAATTTGATTCCTTGCTTCTAGGCAATTAGACACACACTCGCACACAAATAGGAAAAACAATCACAGTAAATATCAACGCGACAGGTCAAATTGTTTTAAGTGGTAAATGGCAAGTGGCATATAAAAAATTAAACGCCCACGCGGCGTATGCGCAACGTGCCCTTTTCGCAGGCTTTCGCTAGGAATGCCTGATTGATTTTTCGTTTTATTTTTTTATAAACTTTTAATTTGATATTTGATTGAAATTAGCATTTATACAGATTTTCTCAGCTGCAACTCGGCGTTCTCTTGTTCTCTTTTAATTAAATGTGCTGCGCTTCATTGATGCTGATTGATTGAATGCCGGCTTTGGGGCCTCGGGCTCGACTTGCGTTTTACTCAGGGGCTGCGCGTCTACTGAAGCATTTGAAGTAGGCGCTGTCTAAGTTTAGTGGTCGAGCGCTCGAGCGTCGAGCGCTCGGACGTACGTACGTATCGCACGCACACACACCAGCGCAATTTTTACACTCATTTAGTCTGGCCGTACATATGAGTGATATTCTGTGTGTATGTTTATGTGCGTGTGTGTGTGAGTGTGCGCTGCCTGGTTTCGCACTCAAATGCCCATGGCATTGTCTGCTCGAGTGAGTTCGCTTGCTGTCTCTGCTGGGCGCCGTTGTTTTGTTTAAACGTTATCGTTCTTGTTGTTGCCTTTGTTTATTGTTTATAGCATGTGCACACACACACTCAGCAACAACAAAACACGCACACACAGCAGCCGGAGTACACAGAATAGTTTTCACTGCACTTGTCTTTTTGTTGATGATTTGTTTGACTTTTGGTTTTAAAGTTATTTTATTTTGCTTATGCACATATTTCACTTTGTTTGTCACACAGGGCGTATGTGCAACAATTTGTAGTACAATGTTTTCGGAGCGGGCGGCATGTTAATCAACAGTTTCCGACAAGTTTGGAGCTCAAAATGTGTGCTGAAATAATATATTTAAGCTATATTATTTTTATAAAACTGATATGAGTGACATTCTAAAGCTCTTACTTAAATAAAAATACTTTCAATATATTTATAAACTTTAATGAAGCAAGTGCGTTCACATAGAAACTCTATTAAGTCACCATTCACTAATTTTAGCATAGTTCTTAATCCCTCAATGAGCTAAAGAGTAGATTATCTGCCAGGATTAGGTGCACAGCAATGAACGTAGTTTCTCTCACGCAACTTGAGTGTATTTTAAGTATCAAATACTCAATTTTGTGGCTTCCGTCTCATTTTGCACTCAATTGAAAACTGTTGCATGCTTTAATTGTAATAATAGGATATTGGGGTACATATAAGTGTGCGATAAACCTGATCATTAGTGAAGGCAATTACTGTTATTAAAACAGTCAACTCATTTCGATTAGTTCATTCAATAGAAGTCCATATAATTAATATAATAAAGAGCCTATCAAGCAATATATATTTCATATTCAATCTATGATTGGCAGTTAGATGAAATGGAATATAGATGTAGTTCATAAGCGAATGAATGTTGACTTTAAGCTTCTTGTCGATACTCAACTTAATATTTGAAAAGTGGACTTTCATATAATTAAATTTAAAATTAAGTTGATTCTAATCAAATTAACGTATGTGTTAACTGATAGTTTGATGAGTGCTTTTATAATCGTGATAAAACAAAGTCAATAAAACTGTTGCGGTCAATCAATTATTACAAATGTAGTTAAGGGCTAAAATTAGTTGTTTACCCAACATTTAAAAACTATCAATGCAAACAACTATTCAGATTTTAATATTAAATAAGTATTTAAGTCCATATTTAACTTATTATTATTACATGAACACTGATTCAAGGCCCAACTTGTTTTCAACAATTTAAATCCATTTATACAGCAAATTACATACCTGTTGTAAAGTACGATATCGTCACGCTACATATACAAATGCAAGGCAGATTGTGAAATATAATTCAATTACAAGAGAACACCATATTGCGCCCTTTGGGTGAGTTTCATTAAGTTAGATACTAATACTAATACTAATACTAAAACTAATACTAATACTAATACTAATACTAATACTAATACTAATACTTATACTAATACTAATACTAATACTAATACTAATACTAATACTAATACTAATACTAATACTAATACTAATACTAATACTAATACTAATACTAATACTAATACTAATACTAATACTAATACTAATACTAATACTAATACTAATACTAATACTAATACTAATACTAATACTAATACTAATACTAATACTAATACTAATACTAATACTAATACTAATACTAATACTAATACTAATACTAATACTAATACTAATACTAATACTAATACTAATACTAATACTAATACTAATACTAATACTAATACTAATACTAATACTAATACTAATACTAATACTAATACTAATACTAATACTAATACTAATACTAATACGAAGACGAAGACTAGACGAAGACGAAGACGAAGACGAGACGAAGACGAAGACGAAGACGAAGACGAAGGACGAAGACGAAGACGAAGACGAAGACGAAGACGAAGACGAAGACGAAGACGAAGACGAGACGAAGACGAAGACGAAGACGAAGACGAGAGCGAGACCGAAGACGAAGACGAAGACGAAGACGAAGACGAAGACGAAGGCCGAAGACGAAGACGAAGACGAAGACGAAGACGAAGACGAAGAATCGAAGACGAAGACGAAGACGAAGACGAAGACGAGACGAAGACGAAGACGAAGACGAAGACGAAGACGAAGACGAAGACGAAGACGAAGACGAAGACGAAGACGAAGAGAAGACGAAGACGAAGACGAAGACGAAGACGAGAGAAGACGAAGACGGAAGACGAAGGACGAAGACGAGACGAAGACGAAGACGAAGACGAAGACGAAGACGAAGACGAAGACGAAGACGAAGACGAAGACGAAGACAATACTAATACTAATACTAATACTAATACTAATACTAATACTATACTAATACTAATACTAATACTAATACTAATACTAATACTAATACTAATACTAATACTAATACTAATACTAATACTAATACTAATACTAATACTAATACTAATACTAATACTAATACTAATACTAATACTAATACTAATACTAATACTAATACTAATACTAATACTAATACTATACTAATACTAATACTAATACTAATACTAATACTAATACTAATACTAATACTAATACTAATACTAATACTAATACTAATACTAATACTAATACTAATACTAATACTAATACTATACTAATACTAAGACTAATAACTAATACTAATACTAATACTATCTAATACTAATACTAATACTAATACTAATACTAATACTAATACTAATACTAATACTAATACTAATACTAATACTAATACTAATACTAATACCAGTACTAATACTAATACTAAGAGTAATAATACAATAGTTATTTTTAGATTCATACTATTATATTTATTAACATCCAATTAATCAAGTCACCAGGTAATTTAAAATAATTAAACTACTTAATATCAGCCATAGATAACCTTTAAGCGTGCTATTAAATGCATGTTACTCTCAATGGCAGATGCTGTGGCAAGCAGAGAAGTCGACAATTGCCAGAGTTCCAGTCTGTAGAGTGTAAATTATGTAATAGATATTATATATGTAGTTCAGTTGGCCGGCTCTTGGTATATAAATAAACAGTGGGACTCAGGTAAATGCTTAACCAATGCATTGTTAGATAACTCGAGCTAGATCCAAATAATAGCTCAGACAGTATTTATAGGGTTCAGTGCGTCAAGTAACTTGTAAATTTAATTGAATCTCAAACAAAAGACAGTAATAAGTATTTTTTAAGACTATATATATATATAGAATTTTGTATAAACGAAAAGTGGGTATGTCGTTCAGTGGTAGCCTCGGTGTGGCCTATATTTCTACTCATTGAGGGCGCTTCTCGGCATTCTTTTTGGTGAATTCCTCCGCGGACTTCATAAACTTTTTATGATCTTTGACAAACTCCTCGGCCAAATCGGAGCGCAACGGATGCTCTGGTTGGGGATTATGGACAATGTCGATGAGCGCCTGAAATACCTGCTCAGTGCGCGTTGTTGGCTTCCAGTTGTCCGCCGTTATTATGGACAGACACACCTGGCCCTTTTCATCGACATTGGGATGATAGATTTGAGTCTTGAACAGTATTCTCGGTGGCATGAACGGATACTGGTCAGGAAAGCTAACCTCGATGCGAAATGCACCCTTGTTGTATGGCGCCTTTTCCGGCACCAACAGCCCGGTCCACAGCAGCAATGATTCATCTGAAGCTTCCACATTGCGCAGGACCTTCGACTTGGCGGCCGTAATATCGCTAAGTTCGCGACTCAAACGATGTGACGCGGACATAGTTTAAATTTTTTTTGTTTATTTTTTCGTGAGCTATACAATTTCTAAATGCAAATAATTTTGGGGTATATTGTTGAGAGAATTTTGAAAGCCTATATTGTGTTTTTCTATTTTATTATTACAACAATCCACCAATTGTTTATTTACTTTATCTCAATATAGTTTGGTTTATGTACAAATTGATATATAATTATTAATTAATTAAAGGATTTCTCAATTAAAATAACAGCTCTTTGTTATCATCGAAGAGACTCTCCCAGATCTTTAGCTTCGGCCATTCGGGCAGCTCTATAAACTTCAATTCATCGTTTATATTTAGGCATTTTATACTCTCGTCGCTTTTACGCACTGGATCCCAGGTAATCATGTCCATGCCGTTGATCTCCGAGCTGTAGGGATTGCCTGTCGTCGCAAACTGCGTCCAGATACCCACCGTGCGCTCAATGTTGCGGTACTCGCGGCTCTCTTTTGACAAGCGACGGGCCAGAAGACTGCTGAACTGATAAGTCAGATCATCCGCATGACTGACGCCCTTGACGCCACGTCCAAAACGCATAATGCGATAGGGGTATATCAACTCCTCCGAATCAAAATCGTAGCGATAGAAGTAAACTGGCGAGCCAGCGGCATAGGCGTGTCGCGAGCGGACCACACGCAGCGCAGGAAAGACAAAGTAGAAAATGGAGCAGAGCTGTGGGGAAGGGAGAGAAAGGGAGATGAAAAAATCAAAGAACGCATCTGTCTATGAATTCTTGCATCGTTTAATCAGTCATTCAATCATACCGTCAGTAGGTTTGTCGGTCAGACAATCAGGGAGTACTTCGACCGGTCGGACAATCATTGTATCAATCTATCAACCGGTCAATCACTAATCTCTGTCAGTCATACAACCAATCAGAACTTATATTGGTCATTCAATTAGTCAACTAATGAAAAGATTTCAATCAATCAACTGATCAACCAGTCAATAATAAATAAATATTTTATTCAGTCACTCAATCAGTCTTAATCATTCAACCAAGCAATAAGTCAATCAGTCAGTCAGTTAAGAACAAATTCACTGAATCAACCAATTAATCTCAAACATTCAATCAATCAGTTGATAAGTAAATTATTCAATCATTCAAGCAATACTTCTATCGTTTCTTAGCTATACCGTTAATTACCCAGTCAATCGGATGAATTTCGTACTGAGTCAATCAAATTGATTGCGAAAAGTATATACATTTTGGACATCAACTTACGTCCATGTAATTATCAGGTGTTGCCTTCTCGCCAGTTAAATGGGCACTGCGTATCTTCTGACCCCAGCTGCTAACCTTGTCGCGGTTGATCGCTGAGAGCTCACGTGGAACGAAGGCCGTGCCGGATTCCACCTGCTGAACCACCTGGGGCATCAATTTGATCTCTGAAGAGACGAATTTTGGACTGGTTTTTATTGAGGCTATTAATCACACACACTCACCAGGTACCCAGAGCAGTCCTTCATACGAGGTGTTGCCTATCAACATGGGTATCGAGTTGCTCCAAGCGGTCTTCATCATATCAAGCGGATGCTTTGGCAGCACGCACTCGGGCGTTGCATATGGCTCCAGTGCGGGTCCAAAGGCAAACATCACCTTATTGGCATGGTCCTCGGGCGTTAGCACTTGCTCCTCCACTCGTATCAAATCCCTAGCGCGCACTGTTTGCAGAAACTGCAGCACATCCTTGTCATTGTCCTCGCCTTTGTAGCCCGCCAGCTTGGCAATCGAAAAGGCGCGAGACGTAATGTCGCCATTGAAGGCCCAAGGTGCCACAGCACTGCCCGACTGCAGAATGCCACGATGGAAGAGTCCTTGTGTTTGATCCGTCAGCATCATGTAGTGGGTGGAGGCCGCTCCAGCACTCTCGCCAAAGACCGTTATGCAATCGGGATCGCCACCAAAGCTGGCGCAATTGTTCTTAATCCATTTCAGAGCCATCACCTGATCCTTGAGACCCGCATTGCCAGGCACATTCAAGCCCGGCGTCTTCAGGCTGAGGAAGCCTGCAAGTAATAGATTAGAATGGGACCAAATAAGAATCGGAGATTCAATTTCTCAACTTACCCAGGGCACCCAAGCGATACTGTATGGTGACCAGAACGACATCTTCCTTGATGAAGTAGTCCGGGCCGTACCAATCACGATTAGCCTCACCAATGATGAAGCCACCGCCATGTATCCAGACCATAACAGGGCGTGGCTTAGCGGGACTCAGCTGCTTGACAAAGTGCATTGGAGAAACTCTAACTCTCAAAATTCTTATATCACACTCACATTATTCGTATAGACATTCAGATAAAGGCAATCCTCGGAGCCCTCGACTTTGTCGAACACGAATTGCACCTGTACTGCCATGTCCTTGGCTTGCGTACAGTCCCTGACGCCCTCCCAGGGTGTGGGTCGTTGCGGCGCACGGAAGCGCAGCTCCCCAACAGGCGGCTGGGCATAGGGTATGCCCTCAAAGCTAAAATAAGGCAGATCGTAGATGGACAAGCGCTTAACTCCCCGCACTTTGCCATATTCCGTGTCGGTGATGACCGACTCATTTGTGGTCAGGCGATATTGTTGGATTTTATGCTCGATGGTTCTGTAAATATGAAAATTTACATAATAATACAAGAGTGCGTGTGTAGTATATATTTGCATGTATGTATAAACATAGTTCATTTGATAATTTGCTCGCCCCTGAGCTTAATTATAATACCCTGTACGCATTAAAAAATTAAATGGTGTATTTTGAAATGTGCTAATAAATGAATTTATATTAATATATTTGCATATTTTCTGCAGAGCCAGAGACGGCGTCTATTACACAGTCGAGCAAATATTTATTTATTTAAAATTGACAGATGCAAATAAGATTTCCATTTACAAGTAGTTGCAAAGGGTATTTGATGCTCGGCACCCCAAACTCAATTACTATTTCGCACTTTTAATGTGCCTACAGGGCCCCTTGCCTTTAGCACTCTTATTTGCTTTAATTAGCATTAAATTGAAATTATTTTGCTGCTGCGGCTGCTGTGGCTGCTTTTGTCGCTATTTACCATACCGTCAGCCCATCAACTATACAACGGCCTTCGCTTCAGCTTCTGCTGCTGGAGCTAACTGGAGCATTGGCATGCACATCCCGTTAACCGGGCACGTCTGTCAGTGATAAATGAACACCGGCTGACAAGCCAACTGCTCGGTCACGCTGCAATGCACTCAACTGCCACTGGACACTGGGCGTGTCCCCCATCCCCTCTGCCCTAGGTGGCTATCCAGCAAGAGTAGCTCTCAAATCCGAGCACACACTTCAGGCTGAACTTTGTGTCGTCGAGTAGCTCTCGGTTATCAGCGGGACACGAAACGTATAAAGAGACGTGGCCCGAGATAAGGCGGCAGCATCTACTGCCTACGTATGGAGTGTCAAGTTTATTTATATAACGATTGTAAAGTAATTGTACTTATCACGCGGGGCATATGCTCTATGCTCTTATAATATATATGACTCTTAATGCGATTATTGTGTGTCTATTATTGGAACAATTATCATTCAAAACAAACACCGAAACGCGTCTACACTGAACCTTTTTTAAATTGAGGTCTCTCTCTTATGTGAAAGAGATAACTGCAAGACTAGAGCGACAATCAAAACTAACTTCTCATCATTTTTGTTAGCTTTGTCCATTTTAAAATATATATTTTATATACTCTTTATTAAAATATAAATATATATATATTTTATATATACTCTTTAATTAAAATACAGTCATTTATTAAGATAATTCCGGGCATAGTGTTTCTATATTTATATATTCTAAATGTCGCTCTGTTCATCTACCGAACGCGACCTTGAAACTTACAGGATGAAGAGACTTCAAAATGTTCATGAAGCTCGCATAGCACGTCTAACTAAAGTTTCTTTCAATTTATCGATAGCATCTGTGCTCTTTCATAAGACATCAATATATTTGATATTAACATTCAGTCGAAGTACAAAAACAGCAACTCAATACGGGCTTCAGGGTATCACCTTCTTAAGTAGAATTATATATATCAAAGTATCCTCATTTCGAATTATATATATCAAAGTATTCAAAGGCCTTATGAAGGTATTTACATCGCCTGCGTACTTTAAGCTTCCATATCTAAGTATAAAGTATTATATAAATGCACTTGCTGCACAGCAATTAAATTAAATTGCACTTATTAAGTAAATAAAATTACTAACGTTTATTCAATAAGCGATTCGTTGCTGTAAGGCTAATTGAATAATTATCTACGATGCACTTTACAATTTGAACTTGAGAATAAATAATATATAATATGCTACATATAATTGTAATGTGAGAATGGACTGGGAAGGGTGCATGTCAGCCATGACGGCTTCTAAGGCGGGGGCGATAAGCCTCGTAATATCATATTCAATGCGCATATCGAGCCACATCCCATTGAAACTCAACGCCTTTGGCATATTTAGCGAAAACTTCTAATAATACATCGAATGTAAATATCAAATATAATAAAGTATAAGCAACAGAAGCTCACACAACATTCAACTGTGTCAACAAATTGTGTTTATACATATCTATGTATCTTCTGTGGCCAACTGTGCGTTAATGACAGGCCGTAAATACAAAATATGTTACTCATTAAACTGATTAAGCGATTAATTTGCGAACGTATGAAATAATTGAGAGGGTATAAATTAAGGGATTATGTGACATTTTAATGGTAAACATAAAAACTTTATTGATTTACTATAAAACTGCATTTTATCTGTGGCAACAAAGCGTCAACTTTTTGTGTGAAATATGATATCTTAGGCTTTCCATAAAGCGAAACACTATTAATTTATTAGCCAACAATTTTACTGCAATTTATCACTTTTAGTATATATATATATATATATATATATATATGCAAATATATATATGTATATATATAAAGATATATGCTTATCTTAATTACATTTTATAAAAAAAATCCAGCCTAAACAGATGAAAGTCACAAAGATGATAAATGGGTATAGCCGCCTAATTTGCTGGTCTATGAATATTATCGTTATGACTGCCTAGAAACAACAAAAGTTTTCTTTTAAAAGCTTTCTATATCATCTATTTATGTATTCTGCTAATTCCTTATGTAAATAAACCTCTTGCACATAAGTAAATAAATAAAGCTAGCTTGTACGAGTATTTAGTATTTGAAGAGTACTTTGTCATGGTGAAATAAACCTGATAGAGCAGCAGTTTTTATATAGGTTTACATATATTTATTGGTAATCAAGGTGCTGGCATCATATTGCACAGAAATAAATGTTGACACGTTCAACAAAAATGTTGATTGATTCAGACGAATAAGTTAATGAGATAATGAATAGAACTGAACGATCGAAATAGTTGCTCTATAACAATGAAATAAATGAATGTAGATTAATTGTGGGTCACAATCGCACTCACTTCAAACGCCAACGCAGCCGCTCGACAAAGCCGACGTTTTTGTTCATCTTCAAAAATCAGAAACACAAACGATATGAGCTATATATGTATGTCTATATATATATGTACGTATATATATATATATATCTATATAAAAATATTTGTATTAGTTCTTTGCTCAATTCCGTTTCCACCGATCGCTTGGACTGTAGCGCGCCAGCACCAAACTGAAACTGAAATTAACAATATTTTTTTATTCCATATTGAGTTCAGTTGTTGACGCGAACAAAACAAGCGAGAAGCGAACCAAAGAGATATATGCACATACACATTCATATGCGTATAAGTATATACCAAGTAGAATAAAGCAAATAACAGAATAAAAACAGTACAAAACATAGAGAAAATACATTACACAATAAAAAATAGCAAAAACAAAACTAAAAGTGTTTTGTTTTCAAGTGCACAGATACAGAGAAGCAGCGAGAGCTATAGCTGGAGCTGGTGCTGGTGCTGGTGCTGGTGCTGGTGCTGGTGCTGTGGTCAACGTGGGCGGGTGGCAAAGTGGGGCTGGGGCCACTTGTAAAACAACTGTATAATTAATCAATTGATTTACCAATTGGTGCCAAAGCGAGCCACACAGTCAAATATAGTTTTAGCAACTTTTTCATCACCTGTAAAGAACACACAATTCGAAAAAAATTAAAATTCTCAGCTGAACTAACGCAAATGCCGGTCGACCCATGCCCCGCTCGCCCCGGTCTCACTTGATCGCGCCGGCAGTGTAAACAAATATCAAATTCTTGTTCATGTCGTTGTAGCCGGCACATTGTTAACACATACATGCTGTAGACAACGCGTCTATGTGAAAAGCTTAGCCACAAAAGCTTAAAGCTCAAAGCACAACACACTGGAGGATCGCAAAGTGATACACCTTCCAGACGAAGTCAATTGAAACATCTACTAAAAACAGATCTTTTAAATTCACTAACTATTATTTAACAATTTCATCCGCTCTATTAGCCCGCTCTTTAGTTATTTGTATTAAACATACTTTATTTAAATTTAGATATCACAATTTTAGATTTAAAATAATTTCTAACCATCGTAAAGCAGGCACTTGTCATTATCGTAAATCTTATTCCATACTTCAATGCCGTCTTCCTCCATCTGCCTGTCGAACGTTAATTTGTAACTGATATTCATGACGTGAAATTTTGTGTTTTCGGTCACGGGCTTCCATTCTTCTGGCTCAGTGTCAATACAGTTTGGATTTCCTGTTTTAGCGAATGACGTCAAAATTCCCACCATTCGGTTGATAGTAGTGCACTCAGCTTCGTTATATTGATTTTTTGATATAAGCTTCCTGGGAAATATATAGCCTAGCTCATCGGCATGGCACACACCACGTCTAATATCATCTCCGCACAAATTGATTCTGCATAAATTGTGCTTGCTCGAATCGAAATCGAATCTGTAAAGATAGGTGGGAGCCTGCGCAAAAGCCAAACGGGAGAGCACAACGCGATGTATTCCATGCCAGAAGAGCTTATAACTGAATAGCTGGAAGAGTAAAGGTTAAGTTGGGGTCAATAAGGGTCTGCATTTATTGTACTTACATCCAAAAGTTGCACTATATTGTTGGCATGAATTGGTCTGGGTCCAAAATGATAGTTTAACAGCTGCGTAGCTCGCTCAACCTTATCGGGCATCGAGAGCCTCTCGTACACATCATAAGGTAGCACTCGCGTAGGTTCGGCCTTGAGGAGATTTAGGATGTAACCATTCTTGAGCTTGCAGTAGGGATACATGATAAGACCTTCGAAAGATGTGCAACCCATTAGCACGGGCACGTCCTTAGACCAAGCGTTCCGCATCATTGTCAAAAATGGACGGTTGAGCAACCCTTCGCTACCCTTATGGCTCTCTAATGAGGGCACAAATGGAAAAAGATGTCCAAATAGAAAATTTTTTGAGCCGAATAGCTCATGCTGCACTAGTTCCTCATGGGACAGCGAGCGGAGGAACTCCAAGACAGGCGCCTCACACATGTCACCTTTATAGCCCTTGGCACAAGCCAAACGAAAGCACATGGTGTTCGCATTCGGCACCTGAGTCCAGGGACAGGTCATAGTGCCGGACATCATAATGGCACGGTGGAAGAGACCGCACGCCTGTGGCAGACACATCATAAAGTGCACCGAGGCAGCTCCTGCACTGTTGCCCATTAAGGTTATATTTTCCGGATCCCCATTAAAGTGCGAGATGTACTGCTTGGTCCAGCGCAGTGCCAGCAGCTGATCATGCAAGCCCGCATTGCCAGGCACACCCAGTTCGGCGTCAGTCAGGTTAAGAAAGCCCAACGAGCACAGCCGGTAGCTGAATATCACATAGACGATATCCTCTCGCATCAGATAGTCTGGTCCATACTTGGTTCTTGTAGCACCCCCTGTTTTAAAGCCACCCCCATGTATAAAGACCAACACGGGCAGCGGCTTAGACATGTTAAACTATATTTGAATATGGTATAAGGAAGCTTCCTCGTATTTCCATTCAACAGACTCACATGTTTGCAGTACACGTTCAAGTATAAGCAGTCCTCGTCGCCTATTGTAGCGCTTCTATCCCGTTCAGCGTCCCCCTGTTGGACGGGCAAACTACGCTCCTTCAGGCAATCAAGAACCTTGCCAAGCCAAGGCTCTGCCGGCTGGGATGGGCAAAACCGAAGCTTCCCAACAGGCGGCTTGCCAAAGGGTATGCCTTCGAAACTATAAAACTCATGTCCAGTGATGCCAACCTGATGCTTGCCCTTAACACTGCCCACTGGCAGCTCCACAACCTTCGTCTCGAGGTTAGTTTTTTGAGAGAAGTTTAACTTGTTGGCGCCGAGCAAAGGTCTGAACTTTCCCAGCCTTCCAAATTTCAACATATCCTAGCCGTGAATAAAGCAGAACTAGAGCAAAGCCCACAAGAATGCATTACCTATTGGCGAGGCGAAACCAACCTTCATTTATTCATTCAAGTTTCTGTCAGGTTCCTAAAAATGCTAATGTTTTATACTGCCTATGCCTGCTGCAGTCGATTTTTAATAGATCTTTAAACATTTTTGTTTACTGTTAATAAATTAGACATATATCTTGTTTCTTCCATGTGCTTACTCTCTGTAGAAATTAAATTATTGAAATGTATTGCAAATATTAAGTTTTCTTTTCAGCTACCATTATATGAACCAAGTACTAAAAATCATATCACCAGCAACCAGGTAAGCCAGTAATGTTTCCAAGGTATGCTTTTTTTGCGCCCACTTTGAATCCCCAAGTTGTCGAAAACCCGAGAGAAACAGCATTGCCATGCCAAACTACAGACTGCGAAAATACAGACTTATTTACAGGTTTAACACTTGGAACTAAGAACAAGTTCTATTTATATTTATTAACTGGATCACACTACTACTACTGCATGACTGTACAGAGTAACCCAAGGGCAGATCATTGAGCTCGGCATGATGATTGCCAGATGCCTGTTGCAGCTACACTATACAAGTTTATCAAACCGGTTCCAGCACTAGTTCCCCCACTAATCATGGCCACATAGTTGAGATTCAATTTGTACGTGAGGAGAGCAGATGTTTCTCAGTAGACAACGCAAAATGCTTAGCTGATCGTAGAAGCTTGCATTTCCGGACAGCAGAACGAGCTTAGCATATAATATAACAAATTTAGAGTCGACTGTGTCAAATTAAACTATAACTGGCAGCTCCTTTTTAGCAGACCCGTACTATAAAATGGAAATTGAAATGGTTTAATTTAGTAATTAGATCAGTGATTAGAGCAGAGCTTCTCTTCTCCAGAATACGTTCCGCCTTGAGCCAAGTGCTTTAAACAACTGTTTCAATCACTTTTTTATCTTATATATATATTTAAATATATTTCCCTAAGACCTTAATGAATGCCAGTACTAACGCCATTCAATATGTTTCAATATTAATAATAATAAAATAAAACCTCGGCATAATTATGAACAATAGAATTTGGTTCAAATAAGAATCATTCAGATAATTATTTAGCACAAATAAATAGGTTCCGAAGCAAGTCTATAATTGCTAAAAAAAATGTAAATGTTAAATATTCTAAAGATAAAAAACGCTGTTTTTGTTTGTAAAGAAAGTTTATACACTTCAAAAATACAAAAAATAAAAATTGTAAAATAAAATGAAATTAAAAACTAAAAACGTGTTAAAATAATAATAATAAAAAGCCTAAATATCATAATCGTAAGCCTTTTTCATTACTAGACTATTGTTTTCAATGATATGAGACCACATGTATAACTGAACCTTAACAGCGCTCTGGCAACGCCAGAGCTTTTCCGGCAGCAGAGAGCGCTGTAGAACTGTTATGTTAACAACGATTCGAGTCTAAAGCTGAACCTTCCACTAGAGTAAAGCTGATTAAATGCAATTACTCAACTATGTAAACTATATATGAATAATTTGATGTCAAATGTGATCTTTCAACCGGAGTAGACATGAAAGTCCACAATTTTGTTGATGCTCGTGCATTAAGCGCTAATAACACGAACAGCTGTCTATAAAGTTTGTTGTAGTTGAGCTCTCTGTACTGCCCGGTACAACGGGCATTATCAATACAGTTTTCATGCTCCCATTGCCATATGTTTTTCAATAAGAGCAGCAGCAACAACAGCCTAGTTTATAAAGATAAGCGCTCGCTTTTGTCGTTCGTGATTAAAACATCAACAGAGACTCGGAACGTTTCGTAGATTGTAATAACCACAGTAGTTATTGACATTGACAACTTTGAATAAACTAAATAGTAAAAATATTGTTTTTTTTTTTTATTAAATATATATTAGGCTTATATCAATATTATAGACAGAAGACACTTAAAAATTTGTAACCAGACATAATTTCCTTCTCGAACTCAAGTATATAAACTCGACATTATTTCTTAGATCGCACTTAGCGAGTGTATACTGTGCAAGAAATTGGGTGCGTATACGAACAATCGTATATTGCTCTATTCTAGTAGAACGTTTAGTTGCAGCTTGTCAATTGGCAGGGACGGAAGTGAAAGCGCCGACAGTACTTAAAGTGGCATACAAGGACGTACTATCCCAGCCAAAATGAATATTGAAATGGGTGTTTTCGACCTGCTCAAGCTAACCGCCAAGTAGGTGACATAAGTCTTTCCATTTAATCGCTGTCAATGAAATCGTAAATGCCACGATCTGGTGACAATTGAGCGATAAGATAAGATCACGTCAGTAACGCAAATTCCGATTTTGCTACACTAATCTAATTACAGGCTCATCGGCCACAAGCTCGAACAGTACAATCTGGCCACAAAGGTCACAACGATTCTTAGCATTCCCAGCGGTCGCGTGCGAGGACTTCAGCGTAAGACCCTCTATGATCAGAACACCTATTTTGCCTTCGAGGGAATACCATATGCTCAGCCTCCGTTGGGCGAGCTGCGTTTTCGAGCTCCTCAATTTCCAAGTCCCTGGGAGGGCGTCAGGGACTGTACGTATGCTCGCGCCAAGCCAATACAGCAACATTTTGTGATGCATGTGGTGGAGGGTTCCGAGGATTGTCTCTACTTAAATGTCTACACAAAGACGCTAAAGTCGGAAAAACCCCTGCCTGTCATGGTTTGGATATATGGAGGTGGCTTTCAGATTGGCGAAGCTACAAGGGACGTACACAGTCCAGATTACTTTATGCAAAAAGACATTGTTCTAGTCACATTCAACTATAGACTCGGCGCTCTAGGTGAGTGTAGTGTTGAAAAAGAAAAGATCATAGTGAGGTAAGCAGCTCTCCCTAAAATTGATGCCAATTTATGCAGTCAATCACCCCCTATAGAGTCTGTGTTGTAATCTGGGAGACTCCATTTGCTCTACACAAAGCTTTTATATCAAAAATAACACACGTTTGCGTCCCAGCAATATCAATATATCATAAATTATGGCTAATAGTATAAAGCGTGCAGCCCAGCTGCATGAGATAAACACGCTTTATTATTTTTAGCAAAATATAAAAATATGTAATTACCGTTACAAAAATGTACGTGGGCGGCCCCAGCAGTTTTCTGCTATGGCTAACATTTTTTATAGCAAGCTGCTGTCAGCTTAACAGAGTAGTTAATAGAAACAAGAGGATTTATATGAGTCTTCTCTTCTTACTACAGGTTTTCTCAGTCTACCCGATCGAGATTTGGATGTGCCCGGCAACGCTGGCCTTAAGGACCAGGTAATGGCCATTCGCTGGGTGCACGATAACATCGCGTACTTCAACGGCGATCCGAACAACGTAACGCTGATGGGCATGAGCGCAGGCGCTGCTTCCACGCAGATTATGATGACAACAGAGCAAACGCGAGGTCTATTCCATAAGGCGATCATGATGTCGGGCTCGTCGTTGTGCGACTGGGCCAATGAACCGAATCACAAGTGGCCATATCGGCTGGCCTGTCAGCTGGGCTATGAGGGCACCGACAATCAAAAGGAAGTGTTTCGCTTTCTACAGAAAGCCCCGGCTAAAGAACTAACTGCCGGCTCAACGTTGCAGAATCAGGAGGAGCTACGTGACTACATACTCTTTCCTTTCGGACCTGTCGTCGAGCCTTACGTTAGCGAAAGTTGTGTTATCTCGCGACCACCAGTGGAAACGCTGTCCGAGGCGTGGGGCAATGAGCTGCCTGTGATCATTGGTGGCACCTCGTTTGAGGGTCTCTTCTCCTACCAGGCAATACTGCGGGATACGGCGTATATGCTAAGTGCCTTCGATGCCATCATACCTAGAGAGGTGCAAGGCGTATCCACGCCAGCGGAACTGAAAGAGCACACCAGACGCCTGAAGGTGAAATTCTTCGAGGATCCCACGCGAGGCCGCATGGAGTTCAAGGAGTGCCTGCAATTGCTTTCCTTTAAGCAGTTCTGGCATGGCATCCATCGAACTGTGCTCGCTCGCCTCCGCTATGCGCCGACCACACCCACCTACCTCTATCGCTTTGATTACGACTCGCCCACGTTCAATCACTACCGGATCCTGTTGTGTGGACGCCATGAGCGAGGCGTCTCCCATGCTGATGATCTGTTCTATCTATTCTACAGCATTCCCGCCTTCAAACTGGACAAGTCCTCAGAGGAGTATCGCACAATAGAACGTATGGTCGGTATGTGGACGGCATTCGCGATGAACGATAGTCCCCAGTGTCCTCAGCTAGAACCTGTCCGCTGGGAGCCTCTCGATTCGAGCGCCGATCCCATGTGCCTCAACATTAGTCGACATGTGCAGTTCATAGAATTGCCAGAGATCAATCATCTGAGAACCTGGGATAGCTTCTATGAGAAACTGCCGTTGTACTAGCCTAGTAGATATTGAAGAGGGAACGAAATTGTGGCAAATGTTCAATAAAAATATGGTTTGTGAGGACATTGGTTAAATAAATAAGCACTAGATAAGTGCAGTTTTTATATTTTGAACAGAAAAGCCAATTCATGTGTGATCCAAAGTTAAGCTGAAAAGATAACAATTTGTATTTAATATATATATTATATATAAGTTATTTTTAAAGTTTTACAATTTTTTATAGTTTCGATTTGCGCACTGCAAATTTGTCTCTCGATAAAAAAGGATACCTATCTCTGTCATCGTAAGCTCGAAACGGCGCTAGGCATAAGTGATTAATTAATTATTTAATTAATTTTTAATTAATTTTTTTAATAAATATTTTTTTTCTTTTTGAAACTTTATTTATATTATTTAAGAGGAGATCAGCTAGAGTACATAATGTTATTTTTTTATGAGCTGCTTTTGATCTTAGATGTCGACATTCTCAAAAGCTGTTCAACATTAAGACTCTTAAGATGAAGATGATAATAGATGTGACATTTCGTGACGATAATGCAATGTATCGGAAGGAAAGCACAACTCCATCGAAATTGAATAGAATTGAATATTGAGAAAAGGTTCTTATATTTGTCAACTAAAAGCATTTTTATATTAATTTATATGCTTACTATACGCTCTTTACATGCAGAAGCAAGAAATCAACCGTTTCTAATATTAAAAGACTCTCAATATCAGCATACAGAACGAGGCAGCATCTCTCTTAGCATCTATTGGGTACGCTGTGTTTTTACCGACAGAAATCGTCAGGTTCCTGGCATGGAATGAGAAATGCTTTCACTTGGCTGTCAACACAAAAACCATAAACACAACCAAACCCCTGAGCACTATTGTATTCTGCTGTGGAGGTGTTTTTAATATTGGCAAAACCACAATGAACAAAGTCTGAATCACTTATTGAACAACAGACTGGAAGCTTTAGGTGACTATACTGATAATAAAAACAATAATAAAAAAGCAATAAGAAAAGTAAACTTCTACCTGGGATGTCCTCTGTGATGCCCTGGTCGAGGACCAGCTAATAACTCCTTACTGGATCAACAATAATATTAATAAAATAAATAAATAAAAATAGCAATAAAATGTTAATGTGAATAAGATCGGCCGTTGCTTTCACTCATACGATGATGGTCAGGCAAGGCTATCGTCATGGACTCTACTCGACTTGCATTTCTGCAAATTATCAGTCTGAAGTCTGAACAATGTTGAACAACCCCCAGGCGTTAGTCGGCAGCCTCCAGGACAACAGTTCAAAGTAAGGAGCGACAGATCAGCCACTCACAGCTACGTTGAGGGTTGTTAAGGGTTAAGTGTGTTCATTCTGACAGACGGACAGTAGGACGGATATATTTATATATAAATAACTTTATATCAATGGCTAGTTAATAAATAAACAAGGCTGTCTTATGGTAATACCATTTATTTAAAAACTCATTCTTAAAGCATTTTATAGACTTCTCCCCTATGGACATGCTTAATATAATTGCTCCTTTTTATATAGACTATCCCAGACGAGCAGCTTTTCGTACTCAGGCAGATCAATGAGCTCCACCTCGTTGCCAATGTTGAGCACGCGCTGTGGCTGTTGCTGCTTAGCAGGCTGCCAATCGAGATGCGCAGTCTCGGCGCAGTTGGGATTGGAGGTAATTGCAAAAGACGTCCAAATGTCCACCAGACGTTGAATGGTGCGATATTCACCAGAGCACTTATCCAGCTTCCACGAATCCGCGTTGCGGAACAAATAACTCAACTCGTCGGCATGGGCAACTCCCTTCTTAAGGTCATCGCCACAGAACTTCTTACGGTAGAAGTTGAAATCAGGTGAATCAAAATCAAAGCGATAGAAATAAGTGGGAGCTGTGGCATACGCCAGACGAGCTTGCAAAGTGCGATGAAAGCCGTGCCAGAAGATCCTATAGGAGTAGTACTGAAAGTAGCCAACAGTTAGAGCTTCATTCTGTAAGTAAAATTGATCAGGGATTCCAACGTACGTCCAAGAAGTTCATAATGAGCTTGGAGCTAGGCGTGTCATCACCAAAGTACAATTTCATCATCTTTTTGCTGGACTCCAGGTTCTGTTGCTCCGTATTGAGCACACGCACTTCATGTGGCGTCAATCGCAAAAGATCCTTCGGCAAGCTATCCATGCTCTGTGGATTGGCCTTCAGTGCAGGATACATGAAAAGTCCTTCGAAAGAGACACCGCCCAGCATGACAGGTAGTTTATTGCTCCATGCGTTCCTCGCCATCTCTACCTGTGACTTGGATGCCACACAGTCCGCCATCACGTACGGCTCCACAGTGGGCCCAAAGGCATAAATCAGTCCATTGCGTCGATCCTCAGGGGTGAGTAGGCTGTGGTTAACCAGCTGATGTGCCGGCACACTACGTAAATGCTCCAGCACCTGGCGATCATTGTTTTCGCCCTCATAGCCATGAAGCTTGGCCAGACGAAAAGCGAAGTCGAAGGGCGACGTATTGGACCAGTAGTTGTGTAAGGTGCCCGACATGGGAATAGCCTTATGGAAGAGCCCTCGCGTCTGCTCCGTACACATCATATAGTGGGTGGAGCAGCCCCCGGCACTTTCGCCAAAGACCGTTATGTTTTTAACATCGCCATTGAAATAGGAAATATATTGATTGACCCATTTGAGAGCTAAAACCTGATCTTTGAGTCCAGCATTGCCAGGTACCTCTAAGCTAGGGTCTTTCAGACTAAGGAAACCTAAAAGAGAATGAATAGAGAAAGAGAATGAAGAGTTAAGAGAGCAAATCAGAACGCGAAAGCTTAAGCAAAAGAGTAAGACAAGAAGCTTTTCCATCAAAAATAACTTAAAGCTAGCTCGAACTTTATACCCTTACTGATAAGGGAAACTTGTTGAACAATATAACTTACTGATTTTAAAGATAATCAAACCATAAGTTTATTATAACTTACCTAGACAATCAACACGATAGTTGAGCGTTACAAGAATCACATCTTTAGCCATAAAATAATCGGGCGAGTAAAGGTTGCGGGTGGCCTCGCCTATGGAGAAAGCACCTCCATATATATAGACCATAACAGGCAAGGGTTTTTCGCTCTTCAGCTGTTATCAGATCACATTAAATTATAGCAATCCATCAAAGTGATATATACACTTTTTAGCAAGTCACCTGTTTGGCGTACACATTCAGATAGAGACAATCTTCGCTACCCTCGATGACGCCTGTTAGCAAGCCCTTCTGCACGGGCTTATCGGCAAAGTGGGTGCAGTCCAGCACACCTGACCAGGGTTTAGCTGGCAGGGGTGCCTTAAAGCGCAGGTCGCCCAGTGGCGGCTGGCCAAAGGGCAAACGCTCGAAGCTATAGTAATCATTATCGTAAAGGCTGCGACGCTTAACGCCTCGGACTTGGCCCACGGGCAACGATATTTCACAGGTCTCCAAACTAATCAGAATGATAATTTGTTTAATTCATGATAATTGAAATTAAATTTATTTATGTTTTAATTAGACCAACACCTTTCTGACATAATGTCCATCCGTCTGCTCGCTTCAAATGCCGCTCGTCAACTGACGGGTGAGTAAAGCAAACGAAAGTCGGAAAGCTTCAAGAACTAACACTGGTGGCCACAATAAAAGGCACACAGATCGTTTAGCTGCTGAAATTCCAACAACCATAGGAATTGATTAAATGTATTTTGCTAATTTTTGCCTACGTTATCATACATTTATTTCGCTTTACATATTTTATTATTGTGAAACAAAAGTCTAACCACTTTTTCCAGATAAAAAGAGCCCAATAAATTCTTATCTACTTTAATAAAAAGTCTTGTCAGTTTAACATTTGAATAATGTTTTTTATTGCATTTAAGGATTATCATTTATCTAGAATACTATCTAGAAATACAATTGCTTAACATATAAAAGATCACAATTTCTTAAATTAGATCCCTTTCAAAATGTCTGTACAGCTGCTCATAGAACCTCAATTTCCAGCGCTCTGGTTGTGCAATGAACGTGAGTTCCTCATTGATATTCAGGCACATTGTGGGCTCTTCTTTTGTTACTGGCTGCCAGTCCACCAGCGACTTGGTGAGATGTCCATTTGGATTGGAGCTGCGGGCAAACTCAGTAAACATGGCTACAAAGCGGCAGATGGCCGTGTACTCCGGTCGAGACTTCTCTAGCTTGAACGTGGCGGGCAGCTTGAACAGATAGCACAGCTCATCAGCATGCTGAACGCCTCGAACATCTGGCCCTTGATAGCGAATCCGATAGAAATTGAAATCAGGTGAATCAAAGTCGAAACGATAGAGATAGTTGTCAGCCTGGCTATATGCCAGTCGAGCCTTGAGCATGCGCTGTTGGTAGTGCAACAGGTTGTGTGTGAAAAGTTCAGCAATCGCTGGCTGATGTTCCTCGGTCAAATACGTGCTGTGCACACCACAGAATTTCTTCAAGAGGTTCTGTCCCTCGTGACGACAAGTGGTTGGCTCACAGTGCCGAAGTAGGGAATACGGCAACACGAATTCCGGACGATCCTTGCATGCTTTCAATATTTTCGGATCCGTCTTCATATTCATCATAGGACTGAACAGACCCTCATTGCTGGTGCAGCCTAGCATGAGGGGCAGACGATTGCTCCACGCACTGCGCTGCAGCACTCGTGGTTCAGCCAGTAGCACGGCAGTGGGCGTGGAATAGGGCTCTACACGTGGTAAATATAAGGGATAGCCTGTGCTCTGCAAGCGCTCATATAAGGGCCGATAGTCTGGGAGGACTAACAGCTTGGGATCTGCGGCATTTATGTAATTGAATACTTCAATATCGTTGTTCTCGCCCTGATAGCCCAGATGCTGAGCCATTTGGTACTCCACGTTAGGCCAATTACTCGTCTCGGGATGATAGCCAGCCATCATTATCACCTTGTCGAAGAGTCCCTCTGCTTGGGGACTCACCATCAGCAGATGCACCATACAACTGCCCGAACTGTGGCCGAAGAGCGTTATGTTGTTCGCATCGCCATTGAAGCTTCCAACATTTGCCCTAATCCACTTGAGAGCTAGCACAATATCTTTTAGTCCTGCATTACCGGGTATGCCCAACGACGGATCAGCAAAGCTCAAAAAACCTGTAAAACTTAGCATTAGCTTTGCATTACACTTACATTTGTAATGTACCAACCAAATGGACCCAGGCGATAGCAAATGCTTATGTAAATCACCTGCTCGCGCATCAGATAGTCTGGTCCAAAGCCGTGTCTAGTCGGATCTCCGTTCTTAAAACCACCTCCATGCACATATACCATCACAGGTAAAGGCTTCTCACTACTTAACTATGGTTGAATTATAATTATACCAATTACTTCGTTTAGATAATAGGTGACTCACACTTTTGACGGCTATGTTGAGGTACAGACAGTCCTCGCTACCCTCAACCTGCTGTGTTAGGCTGCTCACTTGCAGGCACTTATCTTTCGTCTCGGTGCAGTCACGAATGCCTTGCCAGGGCTTCACATCCTGTGGCTCTCTGAAGCGCAGCTCTCCCAATGGTGGTTGCGCGTAGGGTATGCCATCGAAGCTGTAGTAGGGCTCATCGTAGAGCGTTGTTAGCAGCGCTCCACGCACCTGGCCATGAGTGGTTCGCACCACGGGCGAAGATTCAGTGCTGCACAAAATTCAATTTTGTTAGTTGTCATATTTGTCTAATATCCGACCGCAACCCACCTGCCTGTTGCCATTACGCGCTTGGCGTAAACTAACTGCATGGAGCCAAAGCTTTAAGCTTATAAGGGGAAACCCTGTGGTGAAATAAGCTAAGTGGTGAAATTGTATCTGACGCAATTTTAGTGCTGCGATCGGCCGAACTTATTCTCTTTAACTGTGCGCGTATGACACCAACTTTACCTTAGCAGATGTTAATCTCTGTGTACGTAGCTTTAACTTATCTCATATATAAGATAATTCGTTCTCTTAAAATAACTAAAAAAATTTAGTAAAACAGAAAATCAAACAAAGATAATTTTTTTAATTATTTTTAGATAGCCGCAAAAGTTACAAACATCGTAAACATAAACAACAAATAACACATTGCTAGAGCCTCTATAAAGGTTAGAACATTTTTTAAGAATAACCTTAAAAAGGTTTTGATTTAGTGACTAAAATAAAGTTTTGCGTAATGTTCCAGTAATCCCATACAAATCCGGAGATCTACGAGCGAAGAAAAACTATCGTTAGATTTTATACTGATAAAAATATATGTGGTTCAATGGATTCTTTAACCATATGCACTTACAGTTATTTTATCTTTGCTTATTAAATCTTCCGATTTCATTCAATATGCTCCACTCCAGCACTTAAGTACAACTGCTCGTAGAATTTCAATCTCCAATACTCCGGATGTTCAATGAACTTCAGTTCCTCATTGATGTTGAGACACATTGTGGGCTCTTCTTTTGTCACGGGCTGCCAGTCGACCAGTGACTTGGTGAGAGGTCCATTTGGATTGGAACTGCGGGCAAACTCCGTAAGCATGGACACAAAGCGGCAGATGGCTGTGTACTCCGGTCGAGATTTCTCTAGCTTGAACGTAGCAGGCAGCTTAAAAATATATCCCAATTCATCTGCGTGAAGAACTCCTCGACTGTCCTTTCCGAGATAGCGCACCCGATAAAAATTAAAGTCTGGTGAATCGAAATTGAAGCGATAGAGGTAATTGTCAGCTTGACTATATTTGAGTCTCGTCTTAAGCAGCCTGTGTTCATAGTGCAACATGTTTTGCGTGAACAGATCAGCGATCGATTGGTAATGCCACTTAGTCAAATAAGTGTTATGCACACCACAGAACTTCTTGACCAGCATTTGGCCAAGGTGGCGAGCCATGTCGGGTGTGCAGCCATGGCGTATGGTATCAGGCAGCATGAACTCTGGATGATCCCTACATAGACTCAGCACTTCTGGATCCTTTTTAACATAAAATAACGCGAAGGTCAGACCCTCGTTACTCGTGCTACCCAGCATGAGGGGCAGACGATTGCCCCAAGCACTGCTCTGCAGAGCACGCGGCTCGGCTAGGAGCACGGCAGTGGGTGTCGCATAATACTCCACACGTGGCATAAATAGCGGAAGACTCGAGCTATGCAGACGCTCGTAGAGCGACCGATAATCTGACCGAGCCAGAAGTCCAGGATCTGCGGCGTTAATGAAGTTGAACACATCAATGTCGTTCTTCTCGCCCTTATAGCCCAAGTGCTTTGCCAGCCGATACTCCACGTCGGGTTCATTATATATTTCGTGCTGCTGTCCAGCCATCAGTATGGCCTTGTTAAAAAGGCCTTCTGCCTGGGGGCTCATTGTCATCAGATGCACCATTCGACTACCCGAGCTGTGGCCGAAGAGCGTTATGTTGTTCGCATCGCCATTGAAGCTTCCCACATTTGCCTTGATCCATTTGAGCGCTAGGACAACGTCTTTTAGTCCGGCATTACCGGGAATGTTCAGCGCCGGATCAGCGAAGCTCAAAAAGCCTACGACAATTTTTTACTCTTAGGCTCAGTTTAGATATTTCTACTCTATACATACCAAATACACCCAGGCGATACCCAATGCTTATGTAGATAACCTGCTCACGCATCAGATAATCTGGTCCAAGGCTGCGTCTGGTTGGATCTCCAGTCCTAAAGACGCCTCCATGAACATACACCATCACAGGTAAAGGCTTCTCACTACTTAACTATTGCACATTTATCAATGTAAATTCTTTTTCTTGTAGCTGCTCGACTACTTACAGTTTTTGCGGATATATTTAGGTAAAGGCAATCCTCGCAGCCCTCAATCTCCTGTGTTATGCTTCCTAGTTGGAAGCACTTATCTTTCGGCTCGGTGCAGTCACGAATGCCTTGCCAGGGCTTCACATCCTGTGGCTCTCTGAAGCGCAGCTCTCCCAATGGTGGTTGCGCGTAGGGTATGCCATCGAAGCTGTAGTAGGGCTCATCGTAGAGCGTTGTTAGCAACGCCCCACGCACTTGGCCATGAGTGGTGCGCACAACAGGCGACGTATCAGTGCTGCACAATATAATACTTTGTTAGCATGGAAAATTATCTTAAGTCTAACCGAAACATACTAATCCGACTCCATTCCTAGTTTGGCGCAAACTAACCGCAAACAATTTATGCTTAGCTCTTAAAAGAGCAAATTTAATAGATTGAAAATTGTTAAAAACAATCGATTAGATAGTATTCTGCTTTTGTGGTAAAAGAGAGCAAAGGGCAGATAAGCTAATCAAGCCTTTGGAATACTTTTTGTAACAGCACTTGACCAATGAATATAAAAGAATTTGTTCTAAATAGTAAAAACATTTAAAAAACACAAACAATCGGGTTTCCTAAGCAAATTGATTTTATGTTACAAAAGAAAAGAAGAAATTAAATATGTGTGTATAAATAATACAAAGTCTACAGCGTTCACAAAACCATTGTTGGCTTTAAAAATGATTGACAACAACTTAAACTTTAACCAAAGTCACTGAGCTAACCTTAACTAACTGCTTGCATAACATTTGCACTTGACTAGACAAACAATCAATGTTTAGACACAGTTTATAAAGTATTGAAAATTTCAATATACTGACAATTTAATGACTCTGAAAGTGGAATTAAGTTGATAGTTATTTGGCTTTCGTCTGATAGACGGTATCCCACACCCGCAACTTCGCCAACTCGGGCAGTTCAATGATTTTCAGATTCTTCGCAATATTCAAGCACTTCATATTCTTTTGACTTAATGGCGCCCATGTGCACTTGTTTGTGCCGGACTCGACGCTCTCGCAATTGGGGTTTGAAGTACTGGCAAAGGTGGTCAAGATGTCGATCATTCGCTCGATAGTTTGGAACTCGGCTGTGTGCTTGTCCAGTTTCCAGGAGAAGTCGCCATACCAAATGTATGAATGATCGTCAACATGGGCCACGCCACGCAGCTTGTCGCCGCAATACTTCAGACGCTGATGATTGAATGTGTCGGAATCGAAATCGAACCGATAGAGATATGTGGGTGCCGGGGCGCATTCTATGCGTGACTTTATAGTACGCATAATGGGATGCCAAAAGACCTTGTAGCTGGCGTACTACAGGGAAAAATATTCTTCTTAAAACTTGACTTAATGAAAGTTATATACAGGCATATAGTCACCTCACAGTACGATTCCACGGTGTCCGGCAGCAGCTCCAGCGGCTTATCTCGAAAGTGCATAAACTGTATACGCTTGCCTAACGTGCGGGCGAGCGTTTTCGGCAGCGTACGCTTCAGCTCCAGCGGTAGCAAATGCTCCGGCTGGCTCTTGAGACTGGTCAGCAAATACGGCGCCATATGCACGCGCCCGTACATCAGCAAGCCCTCGAACGAGGTGCCGCTCATCAACAACGGTATTTTATTGCCCCAAGCACCAGCGAGCAGCTCGACGGGCGACTTGCGTATCGCACAGTGATCAGTGGCATATGGCTCCACGACGGGCCCAAACTGAAAGACACAATCGTCCAAATTTTCAGCCTCGCTCAAGAGATACGGCTTCACCAGCGTATCGCCAGGCACACTCTGTAGAAACTCCACGACTTTGAAATCTGAAGCCTGGTCCACTTTCTTCATGCCTAAATTCTCGGCGAGACGTCGTGCTAAATTTGGCACCGAGCACTGTGCCCAGGAGCACAGCACGTTGCCCGACTGCATGATGGCTTTGTGAAAGAGGCCCTCGGCTCGTGGATTCAACATTAGATAGTGCACAGAGGCAGCGCCAGCGCTTTCGCCAAATGCTGTCACATTGTTTGCATCCGCATTAAAACTGAGCGCATTGTCTGTGATCCACTTTAGACCCATAAACTGATCCTTTAAGCCCGCATTGCCGGGCACATCCGCACCGGGATCGTTGAGGCTGAGAAAGCCAAGTGGGCCCACACGATACGAAATGGTGACCACAACCACATCGCGCATCATGAAATAGTCGGGACTGTGCAGGTCCCTGGTAGGATCGCCCTTCTCAAAGCCACCGCCAAAGAAGAAAACAATCAACGGCAACGGCTCATCCGATTGAATCTATACAGGTAAATATTTAACAATCTTAGCAGTTACTTAAGTTGCAGTATAGGATCGGTAGAATGACTCACAGACTTCGTATATACATTGAGGTACAGGCAATTCTCGACACCCTCCAGCTGCCGGCTGTACTGATTAAACTGCAGCGGTTTCTCGCCCTTCTGCCGGCAGATCAGCGGCTGCTTCCACGGCACCACTGGCAACGGTGCCTTAAAACGCAGGTTTCCGAGCGGCGGCCGAGCATAGGGTATGCACTCGAAGCTGACGTAATCATCACCATAAATACTCGTACACTGTTTGCCCACAACGGGCCCACTTTTCGTCTCTACGACTATGTCACACTCGCTGAAAACGATATTATAATATGAACATAACTGATTTTGTAATGGAAATTGGACAGCTAATTAACGCCGTTACTCACCGCTCCATGCTCGGCGCAGTTGTGGACTTTCTTCTGCTTCGTCGCGACGTTTTGCTTGATTTGTTTGTATTTATGGGCGCTTTTTGCTTTTTATCTGGGTAAAAACATTTATGGCGGTTTAATATTGGGTCTCGACCGCGCAAAACACCTTATAAATTAACCCAACAAGTGCAAGCCAGGGCCAGTAAAAGAAATTATCTGTGAAATATATTTTTAAAATAGTTCACACAGCTGATTTTAGTTAGCTGCTTTGTTCTCGTTAAAATCAACATTAGAATACGGCCAAACTGGCTGACATCGTAACGGTTGTTGTAGTTGTTGTTTTTTATCAGCAATGCATGCGACGCTCTGCTAGCGACTGTCTCGGCGATGTGTGACTGGTTATGCCAGGGCTGCGCTAACAGTGTTTATCATCAAAGCAATAATAGCATGAAATAAGTATACATTTTTAATTCATTCTTATACATTTTTTATTAAAAACTATACTCTTCATTTCATGTGTATTGAATGTCAGCAGTAATTTGTATTCATTCTCACAACCCAGAGTTTCCGTGTTACTGCTGCCCTGGTGAACATTTTTGCTGATTCAAGTGCACTTGAATGTTGACTACACTGGGAGATTAGCGTTGTGGTTATTTGTTTATTTTTATGTCTTTATAAATATCTTAAGCATTGCTTTACTCAAGTTTAGCTAAACATTTTGATGCGAGAGATCTTTATATGAATTTTAACCACACTGAGCTGAAAACTATTCTTGCTGGCATTAAAATGTGATGAAAAATAACATATGTAAATGTTGAAGATATTCTGTTTTTGGATAATATGATATGCAAATTTCATTTAGTATACGAATATATATAGTACATTTAACAGAAATTAGCAATGCGGTTATTTAGTCTGCTTATCATTGCAATTCATTTCAAGAGAAACTCACATGTCATCCTTGCATAAAGCGACGGGCAACACAAATCTCACTGCATATAAAAAAACAAGCTGGTAAGCCAACAATCTGTTAATGTAACGCTAAAACCCCGATGTTAACTTTATACCTTATCTTTTGAGCCTTAAAGCATTATAAATATTATATATAAATAAATATTATATATATATAAATATTCACCGCAATGAAAAAGCTTTAATATAAGTGGGATACATACGAGTCGCTTTCAATTTGTAGGTGTCATCCTAGCATAAAGCTCTGAACAAGACGAAGCACAATAATAACAGCTGTTAACCTGCGAGAGCCGTTAATGATAAAGCGCCAATGTTAATACCGAATGGGCCGAATCTATTTTTATTGCGCCGAAGGTAGGATTCTCTATTAAAAATGAGAGAGAGAGAGAAAGATAAGTTTTGAGCAGACGTTCAGAGTACGCTGTACTCACGTATAGACATGGGAAAAACATCATATGTATGTTCGCATTGATATACAGATCGCTGGCCATGCTCAAATTTACCGGCAATGGAGCAAAATTGTTTTATTTGCATTGCGTCGGTCAACAGAATTGAAGCAAGCAGAGCAAACGATTGGAAATTTATTGAATTTAAAAAATATCAACACAATTAGAGCATTCTAAGTAGATACGATTACGTACATACATACATACATATGTACTAATGTACATGCACGCATAGGCACGGACACGTACATACATACATACATAGAGGAGCAGTAGCAATGGAAGTGCACGTCGGCTTTTCCAAACTGTTACAGATGGGCGCCAAGTGAGTACAGACTGTGTTTCTACAGGGTATTCCGTGAGCTGTGATCGAGTGAGAATCCGTAGTCGTTTTTAACTATCAGCATGACTGAAACATACATATGTAGCTATTGCGACCTTATGATCTTGGACGTTGGACCTAGACCACACCGACGCAACGGTCAGCAGCACGCCGTATCGCATCGCATCTCTTTGAATCTATTATCAGTGGTCAGCAAATATTTGTTATCTTTCTGCCTATCACTGCTCATAGATTGGTCGGCCACAAGATGCAGCAATATCGTCTGTCCACCAGTCGCACGGTCATCGTGGTCACCCATTATGGCCGAGTGCGCGGTCTGCAGCGTAAGACCATTTACGATGAGGAGCTGTACTATGCCTTTGAAGGCATACCCTACGCCAAGCCACCGCTGGGTGAGTTGCGGTTTCGTGCACCCCAGCCACCAGACTCGTGGAAGGGTGTACGCAACTGCACTACATACCGCGAGAAACCGCTGCAGCGCAACATGGTGATGGGCTTGATAGAGGGTTCCGAGGATTGTCTCTATCTGAATGTGTACGCAAAGCATCTGCAATCAGAGAAGCCGCTGCCCGTCATGGTGTGGATCTATGGCGGGGGCTTTCAAAAGGGTGAAGCCTCCAGGGACATCTACAGTCCAGACTACTTTATGAAACAGAACGTCGTTCTGGTAACCATAAGTTACAGGCTGGGCGCTCTGGGTAAGTGAAGATTGGCGGCTTAGTCTGAGACACTAACTTTGACTCCTGCTACAATAGGCTTTTTAAGCTTGAAGGATCCAACGCTGGATGTACCTGGCAACGCCGGACTGAAGGATCAGGTGCAGGCATTACGTTGGATCAGCCAGAACATTGCGCACTTCAATGGCGATCCCAACAATATAACACTTATGGGTGAGAGTGCGGGCGCCGCATCCACGCACATTATGATGACCACGGAGCAGTCGCGTGGCTTATTCCACAAGGCCATATTACAGTCTGGCTGTGCGCTGTCCGCCTGGGCCGAAACGCCGGATCGCAATTGGGCCTTAAGGCTAGCCCGCCAAATGGGCTACAAAGGCAGTGAGTCGGAGGCAGATGTGCTGCGCTACCTGAACAAGGCATCTGCACGACAAATCGCCTTGCATGATCAGGAGATTGTGACGCGGGATGAGTTGCGCAGCTTCTACCTCTTCGCCTTCGGGCCCATAGTGGAGCCCTATGAGAGCGAGCATTGCGTGGTGCCCAAGCCGCACAAGGAGATGCTGGCCAGCGCCTGGGGCAATAGTTTGCCACTTATTGTGGGCGGCAACTCTTTCGAGGGTCTCTTCTCGTACCAGCTGGTCCGCAACGACCCCTGGGTGATGACTCATTTCCATAATATCATTCCGCGCGAAGTAAGCGAATCGAGCACGCCGGAGAAAGTGGAGCAGCTGGTGCGCAGGCTCAAGCAGCTTTATTTCGGGGACGAGCAGCGGCAATGCATGGAGCTGTTCGAGGTGCTCTATATATTCTCACATCGGCAAATCTGGCACGATCTGCACCGCATGGTAATGGCTCGGCTAACCTACGCACCGGACACGCCCACCTACCTCTATCGCTTCGACTTCGACTCTCCGCACTTCAATCAGTTCCGCTGGCTCGTTTGTGGCGAACGTGTGCGCGGTGTCTCCCACGGTGACGATCTATCCTATCTCTTCTACAATGTGCTGGCAACCAAGCTGAACAAATCCTCACTTGAGTATCTCACCATCGAGCGCATGGTGGGCATGTGGACAGCGTTTGCGGCCAACAGCGATCCCAACTGCTGGGCCACCGCCTCCGAAAAGTGGATGCCCGTAAAGCAGACGCCAGATGGAGCTCACAATTGCTTCAACATCAGCGCCGTGATGCAAATGATGGCTCTTCCCGAGGCCACGGCGCTGGCTATGTGGGATACATTCTATGACCGGAACGCTCTCTATTGAGCCCAAATCACCTCCATCCTAACACTAGATATTCCCATCTTATGAGTGTAATCACCGGATTAGCAAGCTTGTAGTTTTATTGACTACTTTCCTGTGTGTATGTATGTAGATATTTCTTGCTAAGTGCCATATCACGACAAAAATGTTATTAAAGTCCACTAAAATTCCTTGTACTAGTAATACAATTTTGAAATATGAAATTTTAAGTGTGCCTTAGTTGAATTTAAGATTAACATATAGCAAAAGGCATAAAGAATTTTTAAATTGAATAAAAGTATCTTAAACTTAAAAATATATTTTTAATATTATTAAATACATTTTTCAAAATTCTTCAAATATATTCCAACTAGACTTATCAAACAACTATAGCTTAATTCAATCCATTAAATAGGGTTTCCTAAAGCGGTTGCACTACGCTTTTAAACATTCAATGGATTGTGACGTGTGTGAGCCGCACTGAGCTTCTTCTAGTCGAAACTCGATAGAGTCAAATGCAACTCTGATGCCAATTTCGGGTTCCACTTCCGGCACTGCGTTAGGATTTCTTTTCCGTTTGGAAGTCAAAGAGAGCAAACCGGCTTGCAGATTTGAATAAAATGTGCGGAGTAATTAAATTATAAAAATAATCTACAAATTTCTGGGTGACCCTACATAGAGCAGTAGGTTAGGGCCAGAAAGCAGAATGGATGCAAATCACCGCAAAGGGTAAGTGCAGCTTTTTACATTTGTCAATTAGAAAACTATATTTTCTAGAGAGCAGCTATTATGTAAATGTATATGATCTACCACATTATTTACTTTAATTGCTTTTGTTTAAAAATCGTGTGGCGTCTTGCGAATGGAAATGTAAATATTTTGGAAAGAGTCGCGATCGCGGGGCGTCTCACGTTTTCTAAGAAATGCGCGCAGACGCTGAAAAACATTTTGTGTCGCTGTAGTAGTGAGTGGCTTGCAAGTGAGTAGCTTATACATATTTATATGTACATACATATGTACACAAATAAACTTTCTATTACAAATAGGGTTATGAAAGGAAACTTAAGAAGCGTGAATTTAAGCTTGTGCTTCAATTAGTAATTGGCAGCTTAACTATAAGATGTGATCGATACTTCAATCAAAATGAATTATTGTCTTTTGTTGTTATTTGATATTGAGTTACCTTTAATTCAATATTCTATTAACGTTTATATTTAAATACTTTGAACAGCATTGCCAACACAAATATTTTTTTGTAACATAGTTTGCCTTTCAATGCCGATTAAAAAATTAACTTTAATTGTATTAATTAATTTATATATATATATGTAAATACCATCGATTTCTAAAAGAAATAGTTTTCTATAAAATGTTGCTGTAAATGGCTGCATGCATCACTCGTACAGCATTGCCAACACACATGAAAACTCGTTCAACTTCGCTGGAGCGTTGTTAACACAAGACTTCACCTTAGGTGCATCATTGCCATCACACATGAGTACTCATTTAATTTATTGGCAGCACTGCCAACACATATCAAAGTACGTATATGCCATTTAAAGGTTAGCGAGCCGTGTAGTTTTGAAGGCAGCATTGCCAGCTCCAATCTAAAGAGTATGCACATGTGTTGGCAACGCCATTGGAAGTCTGCGTTGACTCTTAATTTGCGTGCAATGGAACTTTTTCCACTTATCAATTATGGCTGTTTGTAGTCAACTTTTAAACTTTCACCTTACAAATATTACAACAATTTCCAATCAATGCCGAAAATGTGCGTGCGTGTGGCTGGAATAAAACTTCGCACAAATGCCAAAAATGTTAAAATTTTTGAACAATGTTGATACAAATTGCTGAACTTTTCAGTTGCCAAATGAAAGCGAAATTTAAATTATGAAAATTGCGCACAAGAGAAATTTTGATGACCTATCAAAAAAAAAACCTTTATTATGTATACGTATATTGTAGTAAAATTTTTACTTTCTGTGCTTTAAGCTTGAGCGTGGACTGTTAATTAAAAATTGTCATAAATCTTTATGGAGTTTAACCCATTTACAGTCGACTGGGTTGGTAAGAAATGGCAATAAGCATTTTCGGTTAATGCTTGCCAGAGTCCTTTTTTATTTGTTCTCCCACTCACAAGGATTTTGCGTATTGCTCAAGTACTTAATTACACTTGCGCGCACTTTAATTTTCAGCTAAAAGAGCGTAAGAGAGCAGTGAGAGAGGTAGAAGAGAGGGGGAGGTCCTTATACAAAGAAATGTAAATTAGGCTGGCAAGTCAAAGTGAGCCGAAACCTTGTAAATTATAGGCTTAAGCTGCTGTCAGGACCGACTTCCCATTTGGGTTACATGCTGCTCAGCTCAAGCGTTTGGGTTGAGCAGAAGTATAAGCAGAAGCAGAACCAGGAGCTGGAGCTGTATGCCCAAAAGGCTTATTAAATTATGTGCATATAACGACGGGCGGGCATCCAGTCAAGCTCTGGTTTCTAATCTCGCTTTAAGCTTGATGCCCCTTAAAATTTGACACTCGCTCGCAAGTAAATTGAATGTCGCTGGGGTTAAGCGAGAGTCGCCAATGTCTAAAATATGCAGCAGTCATAACTGCTTTGTCATAAAACCAAATCACATAAAGTCAGAGCTCCAGATTGGGCATCAAAATACGACTGCAGTGCATAAAAATAATTTGGGTACGATTCAAGTTTTTTTTCGGTTCTTTTCCTTTTTGCTTTTTGCTTTCATTTTTATTGCAGCCAGGGGAATTTGCTCTATGAATTTGAACTTTCGCTCTGCTCATATACATATATATATATTTTTTTCTGCAAACTATTTGGAAGTCGAAATTTAAGACAAATTTCAATGCGTTCAGATTGTGCGTCTTTTGTTGTGGGAGCGTTCCAGTTTTCAGGGCTGAGCATTGATTTGTATGCCCAAGGGACGGTTCTCTAAGTCACTTTTATGCAGCTTAACTGCGTAAAGAGTGGGAATTTCAGCTTATTTCCTTTCATACCAAGAAAACGTTTCAGTTTATCATGTCTAAAGATTTTTATTTTTTTTTCAATTAAAAATAGGTATTGAAAATATATTTTGTATATCATAATTTTTATTTGTATTATCAGCAGGGACATCAGAGGGCGCACAGCTTCGAAGTTTTCTTGTTTTTTTTTTACTAATTAAATTGAAACCCATTCATAATTAAACAGCGTATGAAACCCTAAAACAATGCCGCTACCTCAGCAAAAAAGCCTATTAGCCTAGACCCAAAAAAGTCAAACTTTATAACCAAGTTTTTTGTTTTATGTTTTATTTTTATACTTGTTGAAGTTAAGGGTATATTGGTTTTGTGCAACATAATCTTTGTTGACCTTAAAGCTATATGTGTCTGCAGTTGCTTTGCTGTCTAATTCTGGAGCTTTCTGATTTCTTTAATTAATAGCAAAAGCAACTTGGCGGCGGCTTACTTTTAAAATAGATAATTGGGGCGTTAATTCCAGAAAATTAGAATTTGGCAGATGCATCACTGAGCACTAAATGCTGAATAATACAATTTAATGATAAGCACAATATGTTGAAAACTATTTGAAACAAATATTAAAATTTACTTTTTATTTTTATTAATTTCGATGTTTTTGATTCCAAGTCTCATAAGAGTATATTGCTTTTGTGCGATATGCACCTTGCTGTCCTTAAAGCTCACCAGAAAAATCATTGGCTCGAAATCTAGAAATATATTTTTTTATGTTTAATGTTTAGAGAAGGGTGATACAGACCGGGAATATATACACGTGTATTGAAGTCCGTTCTTATTGGTGTGTGACGAGTCGGGAAAATTCTCCTAATTTAATAGCTGAGTAAGTGTTGAGCTTCTCAATTAATTGACCAAAAATTATATATACGCTCCTTGGAGGCGTGGAAAAGCTATCCATCTCTATATTCTGCAGTTTTTGAAGTGGGAGTCAAGTTTAGATCCTATCTTAAGATAGAAACAAATTATATATCCATGCCGTGGACCACAAATAAATCTACAAATCACCATGAGTGGGGAGTGGCATAGATCACATTGATATTTTTAAAAAATAAATATTACTGATTTTTAATCGTGAACGCGTTTTGTGCAGTCGGTAGCGACCGATTCCAATGTTCTTGCTTGTTTGTTCTCAGTGCTTTTGTCATATTTCCCAAAAAGCAATTTGGTTAAGAGCAAATGAGTAATTATTAAACAGCTGAAGTCAAGACGGGATCCCAACAAAAAAAGGTAAGAAACCAAAGTTGGCCAAGACAAAGGCGAAATGAAGTCGAAAGCAAAGTGAAACTTGAGCAGCATTTTTAATAAAATTTACAGTGGGCGAAGGAATAAAAAAAATTACATAAATTAGGTTGGCGTGGGCGTTAGCCTTCGTGGTGCCCCGTCAATTGGCAAATAATGGACTCGTCTTATTATTAACTGAAACGCCTTTTGATCTCGCAAGGCAAATTACACGCTACAACGCCGCCTTATGCAGCACTGAAACCGGACTTGGCGTTATGCAGCACATGCCATGTAACACTCAACGCTGCCTAAGGGCCGAGGAGGGGATTTAACTGTCGTCTGTGGCGTTTGCAATTCACTTTGATTAAATATGCACACCGCGGACAGAAAGAGAAAGACGGAGGGAGCAAGCAGCTCTAGTGCAGCGCATTAAAATGCCGCAACAATGCGGCAGCAGGGACAGCTGCAAGTGGCTGTCGTTTTGCCGTATCCTTAGACAAGTCAAATAGTGAGAGTTGGACAAGAAAGCGCAAAACAAGTTTGGCGAATTTTCGGCAACTGCAGCGTGTCCTCTGACAGGATATAAAACAATCAGCGCAAGCTAGCGGAAACGGAAGTGTTGCTGCCACACCCCCTCGCCAGCAATTGTGGGCGTAACGAATTGCAGCTGCAGCAGCGACTGAATGCGAGCTCCTTGTGGCTGTTGTGAAATGTAGACCAAATGCTGTCCCGTTCTGCTTCTGGGAGATACCACAGCACAGGACTCACTCGTCTGCCGTTTGACTATTGTCTGTTTTTCAGTTGCCGCCTGCCTGCATCGGGTATATTAATATGGCAAATTGAAATTTCACGCTTTGTTGCCGAGCGTCCTCGGACTGACGTCTAGTTTTTGTACTGCATTTCGCTCGGCTAGTGGCTGCCGTTCATGTGGCTTGCAATTTGATTTATACTCTGTGGCACTTAATTAATTGGCTTTCAAACTATTTTCAGATATTCTTCGGCACAACAAAGCTGACAATTGTAAAGATAAGGATTGGATATGAAGCCAAGGAAACGACTTGCTTTGCTGCTTGTGCAATTGCCAAGGATGAATTGCGCCAAGCTTGCAGAACAATTCGCTAGAGAACTTAGACTTGGAGAAATTCATCTGCTATTCAATCGGATCCACAAAATAAGTATTCAAATTTTTAATTTTATTTTTCATCTTTAATCTTTACATTTGAATTTTACTTAATCATAAACTTGTACTTGACATTTATCTGTTATAAATATTTACATGGAAATTTATGGCTCAAATTGATATTTTCATTAGTCATAATATAGATAAAAATGAAGTTGTATTATATCTATTGAGAATAGTTGGGAAAAAATCATGAAATCTTTTCATGATATCAAAAGCCAAATTATCGCACAATTTCCTAATTAAGCTCTTAGAAACGATGCGTTAGTCGATTAACTAACAACGATTCCCTTATAAACTAACGCGTCATAAAATACACCCATACCTTAACTTTTGATTTTCAAAAAAGTGCTAAAGATGCCAACTTCAAATCGGGAACACTGTGAATCAACTTAGAACTTTGTGTCATTTTTTATATATCTCTATCTTAGCGGGAGATTGCAGTAACTAACTGTTAAATTCTGGAGCTCTGGCTTCAACACTTTGCAAGACATAATTTCTTCCGATTCGACAGGACTTTCAACTATTTGGCAAGTCAAGAGTAACTTGGGAATTTAGTTTTGAGTTAAATGCCAATTTTAGAGAAGGATCTCATTTATAAATATTTTATACAAAATGAGGCTTGGCAAATGCGAAACTATTATCATATTCTTACTGTTTTTTTTTTTGCTACACCTCACCTAGCTCTCACCTATTTCCATTGTCATCGCTGTCCCCGATATGCATGTCAACCGCTTTTAGATTCTACCGTTTTCTTAACAGCAATTGTTAAATTAATTTGATAAAAAAGTTTTGAATAGTTTTTGTTGCTTGGTTTCGAGTGTAATTGAATTAGTCATTAATGCATCACTTATTCCCACATTTAGAGTCCACATTTCTGGGGCTGGGGTGAAGGTGCGGTGTCGTCTTTGGTGGGCGTGCCAAAATGTCAAACACAAAATTGACTGACAAACTTTTACTTTCTGTGGACTTCTGTGAACTGCTATTTTGGTTGGCTTCACTTGGCAGCAAATTTTCTCTCCTCGCTCTGTAGCAGGACTTGCCGCTAGTTGTTCATGATGACAGCTGTCCGGGCTCTTGCTCGTACTGTTGTTGTTTTTGGTGTTGGGCTGGTTGGCAGGTCAGAGCGAAGCGCAAATGCAAGGAAGAAGAAAAACCCAAACAGTTTTGCGGTCTTGCATTTGAGCGTCGTCCTCGTGGTCCCTTGCCGTCTCGTTGGTGGTTATAAATGAAGCAGACAAGCAACACGCCCAACCACAGAAAAGGGGCAGTGGTCTAGGAGGTTCCTGCTTGTGCGAACGGTCATTCGTCGTTCTCGCTGATTCGACATCCTCTGCTCTAGGCTTGTTCAGCACAATGATAAACTGTCTCCTCCGACTGCCACGCCCACGTCGCCCATGCCTCGGCGGTCTTGTGCATTTGAACTGAGTTCATTTTACATTTTATGCTGTCATTAGATGTGTATTCTCAAGTTACTTATATTGATGAGTCCCTGGCGGTCTTTAGCTCGCTCTGAGACTCTTCATTTACATGGCAAGTTCTTTTCACTCGTCCCCGTCTATATTATAGTCCATATATTTGAAGACGTCCCGAGTTATTTAAAATGGTATGTTGCAGACACGTCTCACTTTTCACAGTGTTGCAGTTTTATTGTGGTTCGTCGCAGTTTTTTCTTTTTCACTACTACGCAACTGAGAAATGCGTCGAATTTAACTGGCTGAGCATCATCATTTTAATTCCTGGCTGACTTCTGGAGGACTCTGGCCTGGCCCGCTGATAGATGCCGCAGCACGAAGCTAATCAGTAAAAACTCATTTAATTTCTAGTCCATCAAGTCGCTTTCCATTGGATGCCAATATAATGGATTTTTGAGTCGTACGTTCGATACGTTAGAAAAGGGAATTCCTCACAATTAGTTCAAGTTTCCAATGATCTCAATTTTTACTGATGTAGAGTAGAGTTACGCAGAAGCATGCCTGTTATAAAAGTACATCGAAACAGTTTCCGGGCGGTACGAACTTTACCTAAAAGACTAAAAAGAGAAATCTATATTTTCTTAAGTTTCAGAGCTAGAAACTAAAGCATTCAATAATTGGGTTACTGTTGTTGATGCAACAAAAAAAAAATATTACCCGCCTTGGAATATCGAAAATGCCCTGTAATTTCTACAGTTTTTACCCCAAACAGTTACGTAAGTCTAGGCTCCAATTATATAACGACAAAATTATTACTCCTATCTAAATTTACAAAGAATTATATTTTTGTGCGTGGGTATCGTGAAAAACACACATCTTCCAAAGCATTGTAGGCCGTGAATGATTTTCATATTCAATATTTCATATTTTAACCTGTTGATGTCTACTGTTGTTACAGCTGTAAAATAATCTTGAGTTATTTATAATTCATTTTATATTTTAAGCATTTTATAATATATCACTGTTTAATTGGCGAGTGAATATCTCATTTCATAGTTTCCGTTTCCATTTCAAATTGCCTAATTTTATTTCGCAGTCCACAACTCAACACTGTTTTATTTCAGATTCGTTCCGTTTGATATCATTTTACCCAATAATGAATTGTTCTATTCTATTCTATTGTTATATTTGATTTAATCTAGTTTATTTTCACCTTCTCAGGCATCCACTCCACATCAACACATTGCTGCCATCCATTTACTGACACTTTACATGGGTTATATTGCACTTCGTAAGGACTCTGTCTGCTACGGGGGATACATATCTTGAACCAGTTAATTTCCATAATGCTCTGTGGTCGCATTTTTCTGCTTCAATTAGCTGCATCTTGGAGCCTAACCACACGGGCAACACAACACTAATTAGCAACAACAGCATAATGGGCTTTGGTGTTAGACACTTGCTCGCGTAGTGTCCTGTTACTAGCTGTTTATGTGATTGTTAGTAAGTTTCTCTCTCTCAGTCGCTTCGTATCTCTCTCTCTCTCTCTTTGTCTCTCTGTGATTCGCTCTGCCTTGACTGCTCTGGGTGGTGCCATCATAAATACTGCGTGCCCGCCCAGACATGTTGTCCTGCAGCCCGATGCTAGACGACGTTCTGCTAATTTAAATTTATTGGCATTAAATTTGCTCCTCAGTTTGGCCGCGGCCGCATGCAACGCGCAGCAGTGTGGAGGGGGGAGAGTGACGCTGCGACTGTTGTTGGCTGTGGCTCTGTTGCAAGAATTTATTACATTCGGTTGCATTGACACTGGCAGCTGGAATATATGGCGACCATTTCCCTTTTTCTTTATCCCGCTTCTCGTTTCAGCCAGGGGGCACTGGACATATTCCCCATTTCCAGCGTATTGGATTATGTAAATATACCGGAGCGTGACACCAGTTTCATTTCCATTTCCAGATAAACAAGACTTTCAATTCATTTTATTTTAATTAATCGAAAAAAAAAACCATTTCACTTGGTGGTATTTAGTAGACTTAAGGCTCTCGAGCTATAGCTTAAAATTAAGTTTTAAAGTAATTAAAAATAGTAAAAGTAAAACCTTAATTAACTGTAGTATACGTAGAGATTATTTCTTTTGAAATAAATTGCAATTGTGCGAGAAATGATTGCGGTACATAGTATTCTTGCTAATGGTCCTCTATGCATTCAGGCAGATGACATCAGCCAGAATAATATGCAATGCGATCGATAATTATCGATTTTAAAGTGAATTCGTTGCGTTTCCTTCAATGTATGTAAAACCAATCGTATTAGTTCTTGGTTGAAATTGTTCTGGCTGCTAGCTCTTCTTAATTTTGCCTAAGATGAGATCAGTCAGAATAATTGAGTCCATGGACAAACAAGCAAACGCGATTGGGTTGCGAATTGTTCTTGCTGCCGTCTCATCTTTGATCCATTTGCTTGTTGGATGAGATCAGTCAGAACAATTCATGACTCAATTGACAATCAACAAAATGTATGCAATATATATAAAACGTTTAATATGTATATAAATATATATTTAACTGAGTTTATCAGTACTTTTAATAGATCCATAATCTACATTATAATCTGTGATTTGTTTCATAAGCTAGTTTTCTTTTGAAACTTTCATATTGGTATTTCATTGCCTTTATTATCCTTTTCCAAACCAATGGTTTTATGAAAATGTACGAGAAGGCTTGGCAGAACCCATAAAAGACAGATTCTTGATCGAGCACACAGTAATTTCGTACGCCACGAAAGCTGGAAACATTTTCATTATATATTCCTGTATGCCATTCACAATGCGAGCGTATCATGTTCTTTGATAACAAATCCCACTTTTTATCGATAAAAATCGATATTCTAACATCCTTTTTTAAGCGTAGTTTGAATACAATAGCTGGAAACATTCAATTTACTATGACTTGTGGGACTTGTGCTTTGACACAAAATATAAAAATTCTGTAAATTTTGAATTCTGGATCTTAAATACTTCTCCTTCATTCTCTACAAAAACTCAAATATTCCAGGAAATGTCATCATGATTTGTAAGTTTGAGAGTCCATCTAGCTGAAAAGTTATTCAACAATTCATTTTCCATAGTAAAGCCCAGGCACAGTTGCCGCTTAAGCTACGCAGCAAGCAGAACGCGTGCTTGTATATCATGTGCATGTGTTGTGCTCAGCTCTTATCAGCGCTTACGGTATCTACTAATATCGCCGAGTTATTTGTTTTATCCAACTGTTTCAAATTTGTATTAGTTTTATTTGCTCGCAAATATTTGTAAATTATGCGTTTTGAAACCGCAATTGAACAATGCGTATATGTAATAAGCCATAATTTGCAGCGTGCCAGCAGGCTTTGCATTTTAGTATATCACATGGCCGAAAGCAACCTCATTAACTACAAATTTTGGTTCCAAATACAGGAGTTTTTTCTTTTTCCCTGTTTACAGTTCTATATATTTATGTAATTAAAGTAGCATGTAGGAATTTTGTTGTTAAAATGTGGGCGTTCTGTTTGTTGTTGATGTCGTGCGCCGTTAGTCATGCAT